CCTTCCTTCCTTCCTTCCTTCCTTCCTTCCTTCCTTCCTTCCTTCCTCTTTCTTTCAGTCTTTCTTTTTGTGCAGCGAAAAAATAAATAAATTCCACAGCAAATTGAAAGCTGTTTGAGGTAGATTTCATTTCAAAGAAATGTTGAATTTTTTTAAATTTAAAAGCAAGAGGGATGGAAGGAGAAGTCGTTGGACAATTTTGCTCTTGTCATGATTTTTATAATCTCAGTGTAATAACTTTGTGCTTACCAGAGATAAATTTGAAAAAAGTGTGAATCTTTACCAGGAAGGAGTCCCTGCTAGTATCTAAAGTTAAGAACTTTCAGGGAACAACATATAGAAGTTTTGCCTAAAACTAACTGGATAGTGCCAAGGTATCTAAAAAGTTCTACAGATACCATAACCTTAAGTGTTTTAGAATTGCATTAACTACTTTGAATTTCTTGCAATATTTATAAAGGATATGAGGTGAAGAGGTTTTGCAAGTTTATATCATACAGAAAGTACCTCTACTATTATCTGACAGGATTAATCCTAATCTCATGCCTGTTAGAACTGAAGGGGAAGGGAAATATAGTGATGTGGTAAATTGACATTTTGAGGTAAGGAAGTTTTCAGAGTGCCTATCTCTAGTAGGCCACATTTTCCTACTCCAAATGGAAACTTTAATGTTGCCAGCCAAGCCTCATTCCCTTTCCTGAAAAACTATTTCTCAAATATGAATGTAGATTAATCCTCTTTTAATAAGCATTAAGTCAGCCCGGATAATCAGAGTATAAAAATTCCATCAAATCTTTTAGCTGTCTTTGGATAGTTTTGTCAAACAATTTATATTTCACCAATGGTTTTTAAAGCCTATGCAAGAAGTGGTTAGCACTTCATAATTTGCTCACTCATTAAATTGTTTATATTTACCGAGTTTCATAGAATCTGTTATTCTCAGAGGTAATACTCATATACTATCACTCATCCCTTTACAAGTGAAAATATATATACTGTCATTACAAAGTTGACAAATGAAAAATTGTGAATAGAAAAGAGAACAACATAAGTTTGAAAAGAGTTACGTCACCTCTGTGAGGATAAGAAAATGGATATACATGAACATGTATATTATATATATATATATAATAGAGCTACATAGTATCCTCATGAGAGCTCCATAATTTTTACCCAAACTTATGTTGTTCATTTATCTGTTCACCAACACTGTTATACATATGATCAAACATTTACTCTAGATTCAAAAATCACCTAATATTCTCTGTATTTTCTGCCCAAATCTTTTTATAATTCATTCGAGGCTACAACTCAGGTGGTGAATTATTCTAGCAGCCAGGAACCTCACATGTGGTGACAAGTAGACTGTTAGTGCTCAATGGAGAATTAGGTAAATAATGTTTGATGCTCAATTAAAGTATAAAATGATTTCACACAGAATATGAGATATAAGGACTTTGTCACAGCTGCCTTTCTTTGCACCATGTGCAAAGATGTGGCATGTGATTGTGTGTGAAGAATTTAAATAAAGGATAAATAGGAAAATAAATTGAATAAGAAGTTAGTGTGTAACATTGCCGTGGGGAAATCTCCACTATCTGCTGTGTAAAGAAGCAAAATAGGTTCAAGCCAAATTCTCCTCTCAGATCTTTTTTAAAAGATTTTATTTATTTACTTGAGAGAGAGCAAGCCAGAGAGAGAGCACAAGCAGGGGAGAGGGGCAGAGGGAGAGATAGAAGCAGACTCTCCACTGAGAAGGAAGCCCAATGTGGGGTTCTGTCCCAGGATCCTGGGATCATGACCTGAGCCAAAGGCAGGTGCTTAACCGACTGAGCCACCCAGGTGCGCCCCAGATCATTTAAATATATGTTCGCATTTGATTCTTGATAGTTGTTTTTATAATGTAAGGTGTCATTCCACTAGTGTCTTATGATAAATATGTTAAATCCTCTGATATATAAGAAAAATATCAATACTGAGTAGTACACATTTTTTTCCTCCTTCTAGACGTTTCAGAAATATTTTTTCCACATGACAGAGAACCAAAGACTAGTATAATAAAGTAAGTTATTGCCTGCACAGGATGAGTGGAAGGCATCTAGCTGAGAGTTAGAATCTCTAACCTGAAAGATATTTACATATCTTCCCACTAGTTAAAATCTTCCCTATTCTACCTCTAGTGGTTAAGAAGAGACTTGGAATGAAGTAGGAAAAAGGGAGAGCTGAAATCAAATTTTACCTGCATTACAATTCTACTTAGAGTCAGTCAAGCTTTATTAAAATGCATGTATATATGTAAATTGCATCAGATATATATCTATATCTTAATGTATGTAAATTGCATCAGCTGCTTAAGTATAATCTAAGATCAGAATTGGAGTTTGAAATAAATGAAGTATCTTATGTTATAAAATTAATCTAAATACTTACCTCAAAGTAGATTTTTTTGTTTATTTAGGAAAAAAAGTACCAATGCTTTCATGAATTAATAGTTTGGACACCACATAGACATTATCATGCAGTGAAAAAGTGAAAATATTAGTCTTTTTACTTTGTGAGTAAAATCACGTCTCCATGCTTATAAAATTTATAAAATTCCCACAGAATTTTTTATGAAAGCCAAAATATATATATAAATAGAGTATATTCTCTATAATTTTTATAACACAGTTCAAAGAAAGAAAAAAATAGCCCTGTGTGAAATCTTTGTGCTCTTAAATGGATCATTAGCTCATGCATGAAATATCAGAAATTTAAACCTATGATATATCCTCCACTAATCATTCCTATTTAAAAATCCCCCCCTTTTAAACTTGTATAAGCACAAGAACATGAAAATTTTAACAGGCGGAGGATAGGATATACATATAGGGAGATGTGTAAAAAATTTCACCAAGGCAGATATGCAATGCTAGGTACCTATGGTTTGGATTTTCATTTGCTTCTCACCTAGGAGACAACAGCAGTTGCTAGAAGGCAACTTACTAGTCGAAGGTGAATCCATTCTGAGAGCCAGCCATCTATCAATTAAGTATAAAGGTTTTGAAAGGCTGCTCTCTGGCTTGGCCTTATTCCAAAATATTTGAAGGGCATAGCACCTTCTGAGTTAGCAGTTCCTCTACAAGCAGATGGATATCAATCATGATGAGAAATGATAATAGGAAATGTACTGTTCTTGTTAAGCTCAAAGACCGACAGATATTTTCAAATTAAATGCATAGGCTTTGCAAAGAACTGCCATTAAAAAAAAAAAAGGAAAAGAAAAAGAAAAAAGAAATCTATCTGACATAATTTTACGAAAAGCATAAACCTACTAGTTATGAGAACTATGTTATTTATAGGAGTGAGAGAATGAATGTGGAGGATAAAAATGCAACACCTCAAATATGGATATCTTAGAATTTTGCATTGAAACTAGAGCAGTCAATCTTACACTATTTTCACTAAAATCAAGCAAAGGGATGAACACAAACTAGCTCATGAATTAAGTCAGTTCTTCCCTATGACTTACATGATTCATATGTATGTCATAGAGATGAACTGTAACACGGCGACTGATTAAACAGATGGGTTGATGACAATGTCTACAAGGAATGAAGGGAGAGGACTGGACTGCAGAACAAGAAGGTACATTAAAGTATGAATGTTCAAGACACTGACACTAGTTATTGCCTAGCATCCCTTAGTGGAAAGAATCTTTCCGTGATCTGGTGATACAGTAGTCAGATGACAAAGCACAAGGAGGAAGCCATCAGCAACCAATGAGACATGAGAAAGGCAGAATGACTGCAAGTCACAAAGCATGGAATCTCCTTTTCAATGGATACACTGTCCTGCTTTCTCCAGTCATGGAAATTTACTCTAATAGTAAATAATAACCTTCATTTTCATAAGATATGGACATGAATCACAATTCTATAATAGAAAGATCACACTTAAATGCTGTCAGATAACAAGCAAGACAACCAAATGGGTGCTATGCCTTTTATTTCACACTATTTAGATATTATCAGCGACTAAGAAGCCTACAAGCCAGAGCAGCTTAAAAGCTTAATAAACTATAAAGCTTCTGTCAAAATCAGTTATTAAGACATTTATAAACATTTAAACTTAAAGTTAAAACTAGAAATAGAAGATTGAATAAAATGCATCAAAAATTCTGAAGTGTTTGTAGGATGATGTTAAATTAAAATTGTTCCCTTGTACATTTTAGAAAGTGTGAAATATTGTGAGACAACATATTTTTATGATTGTTGTTAGAGGAAACACTTAAAATGAATTGCAATTAAAATTGGTATTGAACATAGCTTCAATACTGAGTTCATTCTTCAAATCACTGACTTGATAACTCCACTCCTCTCTGCCTTGGAAATGTTTTGAAGGCCACAATTTTTGACTTCCTTGAAATTTTGTTTCAGATTCTTAAGAAGAAAACATTTTTGCAAATAGCTAGAACATCTAGGATCTCCTTTTTTCTTCTTCTGCTTCTTTTTCTTCTCCTTTTTCTCCTTTCTAAAATGCTGATTGGTCACCTTGAAATAGACTAGGCTAGTAAATCAATTCATGCTTCATCAGTCTTATTAATTCTGATGAGACTTTTTCCCCTTGTTTTTATTTGCCATCTGGGACATTTCCTATTGTAACCTGCATCTTGAAATACTAGAAGCTATATTTCAAATATTTTCTTCCTGAGCATGTTAGTAATGATCTTGCCTAAATCCACTTCTCAGATAATGGCTTCATGGCATGCAGTCTGTGTGTGTGTGTGTGTGTGTGTGTGTGTTTTGAAGAACTAGCTGAGAAAAAATGGTTACACATTTATCCATGTGCACTCTTGTTAGGCTTCACTGGAGAAACAAGCAAAAACTTGCCTTATGGTCATAATGTGATATGGTGAGAAGAAATGCATTAAAGCATATTTATAATTTCATTTTACAGAGCAGGTGTTTACAACAAGCCAAAACATCCATTCATTCGTTCATTCATTCACTCACTCATTATTCAGTCCCATTCCCTCTCTTTCATCTCATCATGTTCCTAAAGACAGATTTTCTTAGCTAGAAATAGTCTCTTACCAGCGTAGTTACTGAGTCCCTTTCTCTTCTTTCTTCGCCAATACAACCAGATGCTAAAACCCATCAAAATTACCCAGCAGGCACCACCAATACCAGCTATAAAGGCTGGTTGCTTCACAACATCAGTGATTTGCTCAGTTATACTGTTATTGTTTTCAGTAATGACAACTTCATTACGTCCCCCTGTGGAAAAATAATAGTTTTAGTAAACATTATTATGAAAGTAAACACAGGAATTCATACATAGTGTACCAAACTAGAAAATTCTTATGAAGGCAGGTAATATCTGTGCTCTGATCCCATCACAATTATTGATAAGCATATTTTATAAATTTCAGAAGAAGCATATTTTATAAGTTCTGATATTTTATGAGTCTAAACTGTGATTAAGAACATGGCTTCTTTATGTTTTGGTTTATTATGAATAGATTCAGAACTGCTTCTTGATTTACTGCCTTATAAATAAGTACTAAAATAAGTGCTAGGGTGAAAAATAACATCAACTTCTCTTTAGTTAGGTGAAGTATGTTTTAATATAGTCTTGTTAAAATAAAAAAAATTACAACATTCGCAAAATTTGCAAATTTTATTTCCTCTATAGCACTGCCCAAATTCAAATGTTCATGTTTTAAAAATGTGTAATTTAATATTGTCCTTAATAGACTAACAAGGAGCTTATTTTGATCAAACACCCTTTAATTTTTTGGAATGTATTAAAACTACTATATAAAACAATGACAATTATGTACTTCATAGAGATTAGTATCTATAATTAAAATATGTATATGTCACAAAAAGGTAAAACTCAAATATTCCCTTAAAACTTAACTAATTTGAAAATCTGCTTGAAAGTTGAATTAAAAAGACAACTTTAATACTAAGGTCTATGTTACTAAAATAAACGTTTATATCTGGACTAATATTACTCTAGAAATAGTCATGGTTTTGGTAGTTTAGACCTTTCAGAGATAATTAAGAAAATCTTAATCCACATTTCAAAATAGGTTAAAACTTATGGAATCATAGTATCACTGAAAAGCAAAGATTTAGGTGTCTATTTAAAAGATTAAGATATTTACGCACTGGGAATTAAGTGATTTGTAATGTCAATATCATATCCTATTAATTACTAATCAAAAACTTTAAAAATAAATTGAAATCAAAATATAAGTGGCAAATTTCAGCATATCACATCACATGTATGATGTCCATTGTTTTAGTTATCATGGCATTACAACATATTAGAAAGAACATGGTCTTTGAAATTTCCTCTTTGGAGATCATCTCTGCCACTTACCAACTTAAATAAGCAATAACCTTATGTAGGGCACTTAATCTTTTCAAGTACCTGTTTCTGTTAGTTGGCAACAATACTATTTCAAATATTTGGGAGTATTATTTAAGATGATGTATGTAAAGAGGCTGATAAGAACACAGTAGTTTATGACACAAAATTATGACCCAAGTATGGGTAAGAGCCACTCAGGGAACTTCAGGGATGTAAGTTGTAAACTGTCTAGATGTGAGAGTCTCGAAAACCACAGATGATTTGTTTGACAGTTTCTCCTTTCTTCCAGGTCAAAGAATTAGCCAACATATCCCAGACTCACTTGTGGTTGAAGTGCAGCAAAGTGACTGAGTTATTGGATAATACTGCATAGGCATGTTATGCATACTACCTCTAGACTTGACCCATATACTCCCGTGACAATACTTGACATTCTTCTCTCTTTCCTAATGTTAAATAGAATGAAGCGATCTTTGGAGGATTCTGACCCCTGTAAGAGATGGCAGAGATACTGACTGGAAGGATTGAAGTTCCCTACATAACTCTGTGGAGTAGAAACTCCAACCTCCATTCTGCTAATCCATATTAGACTGGGCTATGAATAAGAAAAAGAAAAAAAAACACACAAAATTTTATTTTGTTAAGCCAATCAGTATATAGGCTTGTTTGTTATAGCTGTTAGCATTTTTCTTATACATACTTATATTCCATTTCTGAAATGTCTGTTGTGTTAAATTCCAGATGTAAAACCCAGATTCACTTATGTAAGAAACTTGCTTAATTTTCCCAATCTATCTGTCCTTAGTTATTATACATGTAAACTTAAATAAAAATATATTTAAAATGAACTCATATTTTCAATATGAGACATACATATAGCTGCTGATTTTTATAGCTATTAAGAATCACTAAAAAGAAAACAAACACATTATAGAACAAGGAGAAAAGAAAATTTGTCCTTCATTTGTGTAAAAGGTTCATAAAATATGATATTTTATATAGTTTAATATTTATGTTACCAAGGATGTATTACTGTTTCTTATGCTGCTGGTATATTTGAAACAATGTTGTCAGTTGGGCTAATTAGAGCATAGACAAGGGATGTGTGTGACCTGTAATGCTCCATTGTTCTTGCAGACAAAAAATATAATGAAATGTAATGTCTTCCTCCCATTGGAGAGTAATGAAGAACAAAACTAATTTGTTGGACTAAAAATTAATTAGACACATCAGATTCAATTGTACCTATTACTGTGAAAGTTTGCAGCTGTTCCACATATTATTACCAACTATATAAGGTAAGCACTAAATGGCCAAATGATTAAAGAAACAATAGCTATATTATTAAGCAAGATTACTGAAAATTATAAATCAAAGTAAATTTGTTATATGGCATACTCTTTGATGCTTATTTATGTAAATGTATGTGGTTGCATTTCTCTGTGTGTAAGTGCAATGACATAGAAGAACTATGGACACTTTGATGTAAAGTCATCTTACCAGTGGAAAATACAGACAAAAGAACAATAATGCTTTTAAACCTGTGTATGGCTATTTATTATATTTATATAATATTTTAATTAATATTCCTTTATTGGAACTTTCTGGAATGAAAGTGAAACTGAAAAGGAATAAATGAAACAGTACATAGGCTGGCATAAGACAAATCTAAAATTATCAGCCATAAATTACATCAAATGCCAATACATGATTTAATTAAAGCAAAGGGGAAATGAGGTAGAGCTTGAGTCAGTTCAAGTGCTGTTTCTAGTACTGAGCAGACAATAGAGAAAGCACAAATTGAAACAGAAAAAGGAGATTAGCCATCACTAAATCACTTTTCAACTAAGGAATAACAGTTGTGTGGATAAGGTTATCAGACAAGATGTTAAGGTAGATGTGCAGGAGTAATTAAAGAAACAATCAAAGGCTTCTTTAGTACAAGAGTAGATATTAAAAAGAAATAAATCTCGAGTATAAATAGCCTTTTCTGTGTTGAATTGTGCTTGTGTGTGTGTGTGCATGTGTGTGAGCATGCATTTATTCCAAGTGGTACAATTCTATTTGATCACATCTTGAACATTGCACATTCTAACTACACAAATCAGAGGTAGAAATATCATTTATCAGATTATTTTTTTTATTTCATAGAAAATTTGGAAACAGTTGTATGATATACTAAAAAAATAAAAGGTACTAATTATACAGTTGAAGACACTTAGTCTTTATAAAATAATAGAAACTTAAGCAAAACTTTCTATTTGATATAAATACTCTTAAGTTAGTTTTCCTTTTTTAAAATTATTATACAGTTGTTAAGTTCTTAATTCACATGACATGAGCTTGGTTAAATGGTATTCTTGTAATGTTTTACTTGCCTTCAAGTACAATAAATGCCCCAAATATTGTGAACAATACACATAGTCACTACAAAAAAAGAAGAAGAAAACTTTTCCTTACTTGAGAATTATACTTCTTAATAAAAATAAGAGAAAATACAGAAAAGAAAAATATAGATTTTTGACAATCTGGGTTAGAAATATTCCATTTCATATATGTTATAGACAGTAAAAAAATTATAAAAACCCACAAAGCTTTGTTTACTTATCTAGGAGTTCTCACAGAAAACAATGCCCTTTAAGTATGTTTCATAAGCATTTTTAAGGGAAAACTTAATGGTTTACTTCTAAATAGCGTAATGTGTGTGTGTGTGTGTGTGTGTGTGTGTGTGTGTGTGTGTGTATCAGTTAAATCCTTTTGGGTGTACCTGTATTTCTCTCTTATTACAATTTATTTTAGAAAATCTCAGAAGGGCAAGATTGTAGGTTCCCCTCAGGTTAAGAAATTAATTCCTTCTTTATGACTAATTAAGAAAGGGAAGGCAATTTAAAGAAAAGTTAATACTATAACTTTTTCTCTTTAATGCTTTTAATATATAAAGGAACAAAAACTTGGAGAATATAAAAAAATCAACAGTATGACTGAATGTTAAATCTCTTCATATACAATAAATATTTTGTAATAAGAAACAACTTCCCAGAAATTGGCAGTGTGCTCTGTGCACATCATTTCCAAAAACAAACAGAAATTAATGGGACTGGCACATTCTATTGTATCAAACTCTGGGTAAGTATTCTTAAAATATGCAAACTCTAGGAAGAATATTTAAAATATATTAAAGATACTAATAAGCAAATAAAAGCAGGAAGAACTGAAGGTATTTGTCCCTTGAAAGAAGGGGAATGAACCAGGGGAAATCTGCACTTACGAGGCTTTCTTTTCCCCTTAAAGATTTCAAACCATACAGTGCTAGGCAGCTAGAACCCAAACAGAAAACCTCAACTGTATTGCTATGAGGTGTCAGAGGATACAGTTCTGAGATGACAGAGTGACTGAAAATTTTCACTCGGAAGCCATGTGAAAGAGCCATGTGAAAGCGATGTTTCCAACTCTTTGTATGAATTTCCCCTCAATCATAAGATGAACTCTTAACTGTGCATGCAGAATGAAGACTCCAAGAATCTGGTGAATATCAAAAGCCAGAAGGCTGAAAATGCTGAACAGACTTTTCAGCTGATGTTCACTGTAGAGAAAATTGTGTTTAAACCTTGAATTTCATCAAGTTGGGAAACCAGATCAACATAGTAGGCTTTTCACTGAAGCCTTTAAGGGCCATGACTTAGAAGTAAAGGTCAAACTGAGATTTTGCTCTGAGAAAAAGGTCAAAACATAAACAGTCCCATATTAACAAAGGTAAAATCCAAGTTCCCACAAAGTCAAGGCGATCGACTCCCTTTAGAATAAAACCCAACGTTCTTTAGAAGATCACAAAATTTTATGGTATGCATCTGCAATGTATAGTATACAGTAAAAAACTACTAAGCAAGCAAAAACAAGCAAAATAACAACAGCAAAAAAAGAAAGAAGAAAAAAAAAGGAAGAGACAACCAAAGTTCAAGAGAAAAAGTAATCAATAGAAATAGACCATGAGATGACACAGATGTTGAAATTAGGAGAAAAGGACTTTAAAGTAGCTATTACAATAAATGAAACATGTAAAAGAAAACAAATGGAAATTCTAGAACAGAAAAGTATATTATATAGAATTAATAATTCTGTGAATACTTCCATTCCTGCCCATAAAGAAATAACAGGTATGGGACATGTAATCCCACCATAAATAAGTTGAAAAGTAGGCAAAATATGTAAAACAAAAGGGCAGGATTGTGAGAAAGGGAAAATAAACAAGGGAGATCTTACTATTTTCATAGCTTTCGATCTGAAGACAATACTAAAGTGTGATGCAGTGAAGGGGAACCCAAACGTGGCTAAACAAAATTCCTGACTTAAAGAGATAGAGGAACTCAGGGAGATTGAGGAAATTGAATTTATAGAACAGAATATCTGACAAAAAATGAGTAACATTTTGAGTAACAAAATTTTTTTCTTAGTTTTTAATTTACTTAAAAGATAAAGATAACTAATGGTTTAAAGCAAAGCAAATAATAATAATACTTTAGTTTGTATATTGGTGTTTACTACATGTATAAGAGTAAAACTATAACAATAGCAAAAATATTGAGAGGAATGAAAATGGAATTATATCTTTTTAAGGTCTTGATAGGCAAATCCTAGAATAACCATTATTAAAAAAAAAAAGTTATACCTAAGAATCCAATAGTAGATATAAAATAGAATACAGAACATTACTCAATTCATCCAAAAGAAATTAGGAAAACAGGAACAAATTCAGATAGAAAATAAATAGCAAGATGGTAATTCTAAGTCCAAGTGCATCACTAATTACATTTAAGTTATTGGTCTAAACATTCCAATTAAAAGGCAAAGATTGTCATATTGAATTTAAAACAGACTTAACATGCAATATAAATATAGAAATGTACAATTTCTCTGTAAAAGGATGGAAACAACACAAGCCATGAAAAACTTATAATATAATGTAGCTATACTAATCTTAGACAAAGTACATTTCAGGACAAAGAATCTTACTAGGTAATAAAGTGGGGCATTCCATAATGATAAAGGTAAGTTCCTTAATAAGACATAACAATCCTAAGATGTATCTTAAAATAAGTAGCAAAATATATGAAACAAAAACTTATAGATGGAAGGAATACCAAAATCTTTAATTATAATAAATTTCCAGACTCCTTTCTTACTAATTGACTGAATAAACAGGCAGAAAATCAGTAAAGACCTGAATGATACTACCAACTAATTTGACATGACATTTATAGAAGACTCCACTCCAGAACAGAAAAATGTACATGCTTTTCAAACACACAAGGAACATTCCCTAAGAACAAATGTTGAGCCATAAAATAATTGTCCATATTTAAAAGACTAAATTCATACAATGTACATTTTCTAACCACAGTGGAATTCAATTATAGATCAGAAAGAAAAAGCTGTTGTGAAATCCCAAAATATTTGGAAATGTAATAATACACTGCCAAACAACCTCTACAAAGAAAAAGAAATCCTTAGGTGAAGAGAAAGGTATTTTCAACATTGTGATAAATGGAAACATAACACCTCAAAATGTGTAAGATTCAGCTGAAGATGTGTTTAGTAAGAAATGTATAACTTTAAATTCCTGTATGAGAAAAGTTCAAATCATTGATATAAATTTCTATCTTAAGAAGCAACAAAAAGAAGAAAAAATAGCAGAAATTAATTAGAAAGCAAATAAAACTAGCAAAGCCAAAAGTTTATAATTTGAAAAGATTAAAAACATTGATAAATCCTTATCAAGACTGCTCGAAATTGAAGGGGGGGGCAAAAAAAGGGGGAGAAGAAAGAGAAAGAGAGAGGAAACACAAATTCTCCACATAAGAATAAAAGAGATGAGGGGTGCCTAGGTGGTTCTGTTGGTTAAGTGTCTGCCTTCGGCTCAGGTCATGATCTCAGGGTCCTAGAATCAAGCCCCACATCGGACTTCCTGTTCAGCAGGGGTCTGTTTCTCCCTCTCACTCTGCCCCTCCTCCCTGCTTGTGTTCTCACTCTCAAATAAATAAATAAATAAAATCTTAAAAAAAGAGTAAAAGAGATGACATTACTACACATCCTGAAACACTACAATTAAAGGGGATTATAAATAAAGAGATAATGCAAATATGCAAATAAGCATATAACAATAAATTCGACAACTTAGATAGATCAGACAAATTCACAGACGGCAAAACCAAAAATCCATTTAACACAACCAACACAGGAATAATAACAATTCTAAATAAATGCAAATTCATAAATATAAACAGAATCCACAAAGAAAACTCTAAGCACAGATATTATAACTGATTCTAGAAAGAATTTAAGTAAGAAATAAAAAAAGCCCCACAAAAACTCTTAGACTATAGCAGAGAATGGGATATTTCCCAACCCCTTTTACAAGGTTAGCCATCTTGATTCTAAAACCTGACAATGACATTAGAAGAAAACTATTGATCAATATCCCTCATGAAAATTGATGCAAAATTCTTTACCAAATGTTAGCAAGTTAGATCCAGTAATATCTGTAGAAAACATAGTATATTTTGGTCAAGTACGATTTATCCCAGGAATGCAAGGTTTATTCACCTTTGAAATGATTCAACAGATTTTAACATAGTAACACAAATAAGAAGAAAGGAGACAGAATATTGTTTGAATACACCCTGAAAAAATATGTCACAAGTAATAAAATAAATGAGGGGAGTAAGGTCATAAGATGAAAGGGTAATATATAAAAGTAAGTTTATACATAATATAGAAAAGTAGAAAAGGAAATTTAGAAATATAGTTATAAAAATCAAATAGGGAAAAGTTTAATAAAACATGTGCTGATACACTTAGGAAAATAAATAAGCCTAACTCTCAAAACACATGCAATTACTTTAAGATGAATTATAGCCATAAGCATAAGAGCTAAAATTATAAAGCTGCTAGAAGAAAATCTAAGAAAATATCTTCACTATCTACAGATAGGACACAATTTCTTAGAAAGCACTAAACATGAAAAATTTTAAAAATTTGCTAATCAAAAGACATTATTAATAAAAGAAATAGGGAATCCATAGACCAGGAGAAAATATTTGCAATAAAAAATATATTGTATCCAGAATGTATCGGTTCTCCTATCCAGTAAAAAGAGACAAACAACACAGTTTTAAAAAGGCAAAGACTTGGAAATTGTACGAAAGAAAATATGTGAATGGCCAATAAAACACATGTAATGTTGTTCAACATCATTAGTCATCAAAGAAAACTGAAGTAAAAACAATAGTGAGGTACTCTTTCATACTCATTGGAATGACTAAAATTATGGACTGGCAACATCAAATGTTGACAATGGGGTAGAAAAACTGCAAGTCATATTCTTTGCTAGTGAAAGTATAAAATTATACAATAATATAAAGAAGTGTTTACAGTTTCTTATAAACTATATCAATCCTATACCCCAAAATTCCACATCTAGGTATTTCTCCAAAGGAAATAAAAACATATGTCCTCAAAAAGACTTACACAGGAATGTTCAAATTCCCTCAAGAGAAAAGCAGAGAAACAAAATAAGATATAATCACCCAACTGAATACTGCTCAGAAACAAAACATAAGAATTGCATGATACATACATGGGTAAATCTCAAAAACACTGTTTAGTGAAAGAAGCCAGACACAAAATATTATATTCTCTGTAATTCCATTTACATATATTTCAAGAACAGGCAAACAAAATCAATGCTAATAGGGAACAATTTTCTGTAATGATGATAGTAGATTTAATAGGGATTTCTTCTTCAGGATAATATATTTGGATTACAAAGTTTCTTTTGGCCTTGTTTCTGGTTAAATTTTGACATTTTTTCTCGCTTAGAGGATTTGAAACATAAAGCACTTTCTTCAGTAACTGCCTCATTTCCTATTTTATTTCAATGACATCAAAATTGCTAATGAAATTATTGATTAAAAATCATTTTCAAACCAACTTTCAGCATTTAAACACTTAGTGATTATAATTTAAAGAAGTTTCTGGGAAACTTAAAAGCACAAGAAATTGCTAATTATTTTATAAAAAACCCGAGTCAGTCAACCTATTTGCCTATATGATGAGTGCACCCTATCACTCATTGCTGCATATCCACTGTTAGGATACAGATTAAAAATATCATCTACCTTGTTACCAGTTGGCTAACTCTGAAGCCCAGGCCACAGAGACATACCCACCAACGATTATACTCACCAATGATTATTGGTTGCGGCTCACTTTTTACTCCAACCCCTGCACTCGTGCTAGCTGCAACCTCTACCCGGTATTGAATACCTGGGAACAATCCACCAATTATCACAGATCGAATGGCTGCATCCACAGTTTTGTTGATATGGAATCGTGTTTCATTCCCCAGGCACCAGATCTACAGAAATGTAAATGAATAACAAAAGAATATAAAACTATCCTTTCTGTTAAATTGATGACATATTTTTTTTTAATAGTGACCAATCTATTCTCTCGGCTTATAGAAGTATTTGTAAATGACATTTTCTAAAGCCTAATTTTTGCGGTTTATTTATCTATGTGTATGTGTTTGTGTGTGTGTGTATGTGTACGTATTAAAGGAAGACTATTAAGGGAAGCTAAAACTATGCCATGTTCCTTTATACCTTACAATCAACACTGAATGCTTATAACGTAGTGATTCCCTTAACACTTCTGGAAAGTGGTCCTTGGTTGCAAACAGTATTTGGGTATGGATTAAAACACATAAATGTCTCTGCTTAATTTATTTATCAAGGTTTATTATGCATATAATCTATTAAAATATGGTGATTATTAGTTGTAATATCCAAGAAATATTGGTGCACATCTAAGTAATTTATATTTTATTTAAGAAAATATTAACTTACCCAGAAGTAGTTAACAAGATTAATTGACCTAAGTTATAAGTATTGACTGAGATGAAATTAAAGCCAATATTTACACTGACAGAAATAAATCTCAATATTGATCAAAACATATGTACATATACACAGACACATGCATGAGAACAAACTGGTGGAAAGTCTTTAAAGACTGATGTGAAAGAACCCAGGCTTTTACTGCAAGTAAGAATCACATTTTAAGGCATACTTTGTCCTGAGATATGGAGATTTGTTACTGTCAAATCCATTATAAAAAGAATCATGTGTACCATGTACACATATTTGTATTCATAGTCTATAGTATTTTATAATCTACATGGAGATAAATAAGTGGGAACACACATGGTTTGTTTCTGAAACAGGTAAATTCCTGAAACATTTTATTTGAAATAATTCCTGTGAACTGTGTATTTCTTTTATTTACACAATGATATCTATGTTACTAATGAGGGAATATTTAGGCCTAACCAAAATATACACTTTGCTAGCAAAATAAGGCACTCTCATATGAATGAGAAAGCTTATAACTTATGACAAAAATTACCATGTTATAATCAAAATCGGTGTTTCAGTATATGGAAGTTTAGAAAATTTAGTTCCAAATGATACAAAAGTAAAATCCTAACCTCTTTAAAACACACACACACACCAGAATAGATCATTCTTTGCTATTAAAACAATGTGCCCCAATCCTTGTAAAATTTATACATATACATATATAATATTTATATGTAATTATGATACTGTAAAACACTTATTCTTATATTTCTTACAAATGTTTCTTTATAAAGTGATGGGAATAATTTTAGAGTAAGTGCTTGTACACATGGTTTCAGTAAGTTAATCATTCATTAATTTAAGAAAATTCTATTTTGAATTTTGTTTTTTCTTAGAAATAACATATTTCAATCTGCAATGTTTTCAGTGCAATAGTCAGCTTCATTTTACACAACAACTCTAAACTTTCAGGATGAGATGGGGCATTTAGCTTCTATTCTAATCTATCTAGCATGTTAATTGTTAGAATTCCATATACATTTATTAATAGCAAAATCATGGTTTTGAATTTTTATAAGGTTTAATGAGGTGTTTTACTATCATATGTGGTCTAATCACATCACAGCTAATCAGAATCTTATTTCCCAAAGTTAGACATCTTCTGTCTCTTAAACATCAAACATTGGCAGGAAAATAATGGATCTATAGTTTCTAAACAGCAACAAAATTATCATTTGAAAAATGAGATAATAAACTATTTTTATAAATTTTTTCATAATTTGGTTTTATAACGGCTCCCCTTTTTCAAGTGAAATATTTTACAAAGCCTCAATAAGTTGACCAAAGCAGGACTTAAGAGTGAGAGTTGGTGCTGCCCACCCTCCTATCCCCACCCCTACTCTCTAAACCTTGGAAGCATCTTTTTATGAGACCACAGTTTAAAAACATCCCTGCTAAGGCCCATTACACAGAAATTTAATAACAATGATACAGGATGTTTCTGGAATGAAGGCTTCACTACCTATTTGTACCCAATCTCTCTAAATCTCTGAGGTTCTGGAATCACACTCTACAAAAACCCCAACAAAACAAAACAAAACAAAAAAAACAAAACCACTCCACTGTTAGGGTTCACTTGTCCAAGTGAGTTTTTGTTATCTGTGTCTTGCAGTTAGGTTCCAATACCCTATGTATTTGTTTCTTTACTTGTCACACAAAGATAGAAAAATTACTCTACACTCAGATTCAAGAAGAGGGCTTCTGGAGATGAGCTTCATGCATGTGACCCTGAGACTTCTCTGGGAAGCTTTTTTGTGAGCCTTGCTTCTTCACCCAGGCCCTACCTTGTATTCTTGGATGATTCCATTCTGATGATCCGGAGGAGGAGGATCCCAGGAAACACTAATACTTGTGCTATTGTGGCTTCCAACTGTTAACACAGTGACAGACTGTGGAGGGGCACTTGGGGCTACAGAGGAAGCAATTAGGATAAACACAAACTGTAAGTCTTGATGTGCATTAATACTGCTTATAGAGTATGAATATAAAGACGAGAAGCAAGAGGTCTGGTCTCCAGTAGTTCCAAATTTGCATGTAGTGTTCAACAGTGACAGTTTTTTTAAATGTCCTTTAAATATAATGGATAGATTTAAAGCAAACACAACAGCTGTACTAATATGTGCTTGATAATAAATTTAACAGCTAACATTCTAATGAGGGCTTTCTGTATGGCTAGCACTGAGCTAAGCGTCATATTTAATGATGACATTAACCTCAAGAAGTAAAAACAACTCTTATCTCAGTTTTACAGAAAAGGAAACAGAAGACAACTGTAAGAGAGTTATCTAAGTCAAACATCAAGGCAGAATTTGAACCCAGGTATGTCTGGCTCTAGAACATTGATCCATTTGACTCCAATAGGCAGGCTTTCTTTCTGAAAAAAACACTCCTATCAAAAGTATTCTGAGAGAATGTATTCCAAATTTTCATCAACCATTATCTCTGAGTGGTATCATTACTTATCTTTTTGTTTTGTTTTGTGTTTAATAAATAAAACCAGAAACACAGCAATAAACTTCACCAACACAAGGAAACAAATATTTTTCTTTTGTATTGGGAAAAATAATTGACTTATACATTGACTCATAATTTAAGATTTAAAACTAATTTTATATTGATTGGGAAGAAACTCTGAAGTTATAAATGAAAATAGTTCAGGTTGGGTCGAGTGTGAAATGGATAGATTTTGATTTCCAACAGTTCCCATCCTTTATGGTTTCTCCTATAACTAATTATAATCACACTGAGAAAAGATGAGTGAGAAAAAACTTCTGATTTTAGACTGCAGCATCTGCTCTCCAGTCTCTCTGAGAGCTGAAAAATACTAATTTTATAGGAAAATTTATCAATTCTCCTTAAATCTTTGAGTAAGAAAAACAAAATGAAATAACAGTTGAAACAAAATTCAAAGAAATTTGTAGTACTAAAGGATTTTTATGTAAAAGGATCAATGCTTTCATAATTCTATAGAGTTTAGTCCTTGGAACATATGTACAATTGAATGGTAAAAGATATGTTAAAAGCCTATCAATTAAGTCTTGCATGTTTCATAAATTTGTCACTGAGGTATGCCCACACGTGCACTGAGATATAGGATATATACAGACACATTAGCACAGTATTGCTCTGTATTATTCCTCTGATAATATTGCTACAAAATATGGCACGAAGACATAAATCTAACCACCTGTTCACCAGTTTTGTAGTTACTAAGTAGATTGCATTGAAAAATAACATTTGAAAACAGGTTTCCCATTTGCCTTGCTGCTGGCTTGGAGAGAATACCATGCCTGCTTCCTGACGGGTCAATTATACCAGTGTTCAACTTCTACCAATGTGAAGGAACCCGAACCACTGCTCATCATTCCCACACATAGCCCAGCTGAGCTCCATTTGTTACCTTCAGAAGGCCACATACACTGTAAAGGAACGCATACCGAATGGTGAGAGATGTCTAATCCAGAGGAAAAGTTTAACTGCAATGAAATTCATTTTTGGAAGTGTGCTTCAAATGTAGCATTCTACATTAAATTCACCCACTCCACTCATTAGTACTACACATTTTCAACATAATGTAGAATTTAATGGTGGATGAAGATATTATTATTAATTTTTAGTAATTTTTTTCTTTACATATCCTAAAAGTTGATTAATGTCTTTAAAGATATGTACTTCTGTTCATGTCAGTGTATCACAGCATAAACCAGTGTGGACAGAACATTTTCACTGTGATGCTGATCATAAGATATGTGCAACTTAAAAGCTCTTTTGTCAAACACAGACATCTATGGTAGCATAGGTAACCTATACATATTTTCTTAAGATTGTTCTCATATTGATTTATGAAATATGGCTTTTTGCCAGGAGCTGTGTAAATAAAATTAGTCGAAAAGCAGAAAATGGGGGTGGGGGGTTATTACACTTGGCATCTGACTTTTTGTACTTTGATAGTACCATTTATTATAAGCCTCTAGTTTAGGGAAGGAGACATATAGTACAGAGACTGGTTCAAATCTACATTAATTTCATGTCCATCACTAGTTGACTTTAAAGTATCTGTGTGCAAGAAGGTTTCCAAATGGGGGAGGGGGAGAAAATGTCACTAGTAAGAATCCTATTGCAAAGGTGCAAGTGGCCCTCTGATCAGAAATTATGAGTCAGCCTGGCAGAGCCCACGGGGAAGGAGGCTTATAAAAGAAAATGTTATGCTTTACTACATCAAAAACAGGAAAGTGACAATGAACAGCCTGCATTCTTGAGTTTCCAGTAACCTGTCCTTATTTAATGAAGCCAAATGAACTCAATCCATGTTAAGAAAAAAAATATGGGAAAATATTGTAATCAAATTCCAGTGTACTGGCAAAATTTGGAACAAATGGTTACTTAAGAAAAAGATCCCATTACTCAAATATCATTTTTTTTAAAGTTCTCAGACTCTATGAGATTCTCAGAATAAAAAGAGAAAATGCCACTTCTTGACTTCACTTTTTATATTCTCTCTTGCTATTCCTCTAAGGTAGATGATAAACTAGAACTTCAACAGAATTTGTCTTGGGACTCCTGGGTGGCTCAGTCGGTTAAGTGGCTGTCTACAGCTTGGATCATGATCCCAGGGTCTCGGGATCGAGTCCCGCACTGGGCTCTTTGCTCAGCGGGGAGCCTGCTTCTCCCTTTGCCTGCCACTTCCCCTGGTTGTGCTCACTCTCTCTTTTCTCTCTGATTAAAAAAAATAAAATTAAAAAAAGAAAAAGAAATTGTCATTATGGTTTAAGTTGGCTTTTGTTAGAAATCTGAATACTGACCTTCTTCAGTAGTACGAACTATTTTAGATTCACTGTCCATTCCTTGGAACTCATTAAAATATGGTCGAACTTTAATTTCATAAGTCACCCCCTTTTTCAGGTTGACTAAGACAGCACTTCGCTCAGTTGGGACTTTGGCATCTAAATTCTGCCATGTTGATGTAGCCTGCAGGCCTGAAGTCTGACGATACATCACTCGGTAGCCTTGAATAAACTGGGGTTGGCGATCAACCTGAGAAACACAGCAAAAAGCTTTTGAAACCAAATGGAAATATTTTAGACATGACAATGAAACCACCCATTCTCATTTCTCTTGTCCCTATTTCAGTCTTCGTCATTATCATCTGTGTGATGCCATTGCTTTGTAATTCATCTCCCTGCTTCTAATTTCCAATTCCAATTCTGAGTTCACATGATTTCCAAAATGAAGAGTGGGACAACTCTCTCTCCTGCTTAAAATACTCCATAGTATCTAAGATGCTTACTTAATTCAAATTCCTTGAAATAGCACAAAGGCCTGACAGGCCTAGACCTGCCCATTTGTCTAGCTTCATTTCTCATCATCCTTTTCCTATATTCAACAGTTCCTATTTTTATGGTTGGATATGTAATGTGCTATTGCTCAGGAATTTCCATTCTTTTTTCTTTTTTTTAAAGATTTTATTTATTTATTCATGAGAGACAGAGACAGACAGAGAGAGAGGCAGAGGGAGAAGCAGGCTCCCAAGGAGCAGGGAGCCCGATGCGCGACCTGATCCCAGGACCCTGGGATCATGACCTGAGCCGAAGGCAGACGCTTAACCATCTGAGCCACCCAGGCGCCCAGGAATTTCCATTCTTATCTTTTGTCCATTCATTAATACCTTCTCTCACTCCAATCATTTTTTGAGTTCCTACTAATCAAGTTACTGGTCAAGTTACATTCATAACTAATATCCATAAACACATGTTATGAATGACATGGACAAGGAGCTAAGGAAGACTGGAGGGGAGAGGAAGCTGACAGAATCAGGAAGGGGAGAAAGCATTTCCCTGAAAAAGAACAAGTGCTGAGATCTGCAAGGAAAGTAAGATTATTTATTCCAGAGGAAGAAGTGTAGAAACAGCCCATATAAAATCCATATGCCTGGAGGAAGTGTATGGGAAGATGAGGAGTTGTGAAGTTAGAGCATCTATTTTAAAGGCATTTGAAAAGCTTATACCCACTAGCAAATATTAAATGAAAGACTTATTAATTTATCAGTTTCTGGCTCCTTCAAGAGTCTCACTACTGGCACAATTTCACAACTTTCTTGATCCTTTCATTCACATAAAGTTACAGAAGATAAGCAGCTGTTTTTAATGAAAATCAGATTTTAAATCTGAACACTCATATCAGATAAAAATGTGAAAATGCTGTTTGTTCATTCATAATAATTACATGAAAAGTGAATATATAAAAATGCAAGCTAAAAATAAAACATGTCCTTACATATTTATTGAACAGTCTCTATTGGAGTTTTACCATTGTTTCATTTTCAGAGTGAAAAGGATTTTTAACTTTAAAAATTTTTTAAATGTCTTGCCCTTTTTCTAGAATTGCTTGATTTAAACAGTAACTATCACAGAAACTTCTTCAATTAATTTCCCATATATTGTAGCTTAGTAGGCATATTCTAAGAAGCCTTTAACTTGACAAATTTCACTTTCAAATACAATGTAAAATTTAATGGAGAAGAGATGGAAAAACCTCATTTCAGGAAGTTAGGGGAGAAAAGAAATAGAGGAGATGATGAAAATGGTTATTTCAACTTTTTAAAAATTCCTTATACAACTGTTAACACATTATGAATAAAAGGTATTATCTCATGTATTAACTTCTTTTTTAAGATTGATTTATTTTAGAGAGAGAGAGAGAGAGCGAGCACACATACATGACTGGGGTCAGGGCCAGAGGAAGAAGAAGAAAGAAACCCCAAGCAGACTCTGCGGTGAGCACGGAGCCCCACTCGGGGCTTGATCCCACGACCCTGAGATCAAGACCAGAGCTGAAATCAAGAGCTGGACACTCATCCGACTGAGCCACCCAGGCGCCCCAGTCCCACGTATTAACCTCTAACATTTATTCTTTAGTTGGAGCATTTTAAAATTATTTTTAAGTGGGAGCAGGAAACTTAAAAAACCCAAAACCTCAATCAAAAGACAGTGGAACAAAGGGACATTTTTCTATATTTAGAATGTCCAAGCTAGAGAGTCCATGAAGCCGGTGGGCCTGAGCATATGTGTTTCTATGTATAGCTCATTCCAGCTTTGCAGATGAGTCTTAACAACTAAGAATTCCTTCACCCACCTGACAGCATTCTTACCCTCAAAGATTCTCTGGAATTAGTACTACACTTGTATGAGGTTCTGTCAAGAGAAAGTTCGCCCAGCTCTGATGACAAAGCTCATGATCTTTGAATTCTCATCCATGCTACCAGTTGTATTTGTACCAACAGACGTAGTTTTTCAAAAGCCATTGTTCTGACATTACAAAGCAAGGCAACTCAAAAGCAAAAATTAAATTTATGAGAGCCAAAGAGAGATGCCTTTAATCAAAACTGTCAATGTTCAAAAATTCCTTGCAGCATATGTTAAAACAACATTGAGCTGGCATTTTATAAACTTCTCTGCATTCGCTTTAAGTGAATTTATATACTGAAAGAAAGACATAACTCACAATAATAGCTTGTTAATACTGAAAGAAGCAAGCTGTGTTTTTAAGAAGAACATTAAGCAGCTGTTTCCAGATGAAGAGAGTCTGTAAATCAGGGTAAATTGGTTTTATCCATGTTTGGTTTTCATTAATTAAGTGTTTTAGGGACTTTATGAAGCTAATGTTTACCACACAACATTGCCTTGCTCACTTCATTGTACACTGCTTTCAACCAGTATATTCTAATGGCCTACTTAATAACCAAATAGTTTAACTTGATTTTGTGCAGTTGCAGTACATTCTTTTTCAGAAGAAAATTTGTTGTTACAGGTGGAAGCAAAAATGAAAATGCTGAATATTACCTTTAAAAAAAAATAGGTGGAACTTTTATTGGATATGTGTTCCACACCACTTACTCGTAGAGCACATTTTGACAGGTGGTCATTTTCAAGTTAAACCATATGCTTGTTACTAGTTTTATTAACATTCTGTTTATAAGAAGGAGGATTTTGTTTAGTGTTGATTATAATCAGAGTCTAGCCACAAATCCAGGGGTTTGTAGAATTTTAAAAAATTTGTATTTTCTGAAGTATGAATAAAAAAACGTTGTCTTAAGGAAAAAAAGTAAATGATGAAGCAAGTTTCCATTGTCCAGTCATAAGGTCCCAACTGAGTTATAGCTCAGCCTTTTAAATTTTCTGAGTCTCAGTTTTCTTAATTCACTCAATAATATTCATATTACAAGGGCCTGGATACAATTAAGTGACTATTATAAGTTAAAGAACTTTGCAAGTTTCAGGGATGCACAATGATAAAGCATCACTGTTAAATAAGGGATAGACTTTAAAAAAGGGGTCCATATGTGACCCGAGGGTAGTGCATTAAAATGTGCACTACTGTTCCATTAAAGCCACATTCTATTAAAATGTGTAAGTGCTTACCACCATCTTTTCTATTTAAAAAAAAATCCATCTAAACTAAAAACTCAAAGTGAATTTTCTTTGTTGGGCTTAGCCTGCTAAGGACTGATCTGGATGAAGCTGAGTTCTGAAATTCTAGTTTGCCAATGTATGATGTTAAAAGGGCAAAAGATTGGTGATTCTTTTTGTCCTTGAACAAAAACAACCCCCCACACACACACTAGAATAACCATTTTTTTATTTTAAATTTTTTAAGAATAACTGCTTTTTTAAAAATAAGAGATTTATTCCTATTTTCTTTGTGAAACAATCATTTCTTACCATTTTTGCCTACCCTTGTTATAAGAGCAGTCACTTTTAGAAAGCAGCCCTGGCTAACTATTGTTACTTCAAGATTAGCCTTGGTAAACCACCTCAGCTGGCCCAAGTCTAACTACCTAGGTTGGGGAATATATTTCTCTCCTCCAATAACACATCTGTAACTCAAATATTAACAATGCAATACTTTAAAGAACATACACATTTAGCAAGCTGAAAATATGGCATAGAAATAAAACATTTGGTTATAATTTCTTTGGCAACTGACCACACCCCTAGTCCGACTTTATTTCACTAAACTGACCTCTCAAACACATACTTAATTTCATGTGTAGCTACAAATTCATGGGGAACAATACCCTGTGATATAATTGAACACTTTCTTTTTTAAAACAAAAATACAAATGTATAAAAACAACTGATTTGATCATTCAACAGACTGTTAGTGAAGGGGTATTTTATACTAGATGCTCTGCTCAGAAAAAACAAAAATGAAAAACATGGACTCCAGACTCACAGAACTCCAGCTCACAAGAGAGAGAGATATATGCAAACTAGTAATGACAAGCTTCGTGAGATACAGAGATTAATATGACAAGGTTCCTCTCCTGTTAGAACTCCCAGACTACAGACCTGCAATTTTGATCTAATTTGATTTATTCTTTTAAACTTACTGACTTTTAAAGTGATTAACTTCATAAACATAATGACTTTGATTCTTACCCAAATAATTTCTACATTTAGAAGCAGCTTAAAAGAGGCCCCTTCAAAACTCCCAACAGAGCAGAGAAGACTTTTCAATTGAGAGTGAGGAAAATCTGCTATTAAAAATACAGTTATTTCCTTGGCTTTGCTAGGTTTATATTTGGTCAAAGTTATAGAGAGATGGAAGAGACAAGGCAGATAATACCCCTACTGTGCCAATGGAAAAATGGTGACGTCATTTTGTAGGCACCCTCCATGGGAACAGGAGAATAGGAATTATTATATGCAGAAAGCAGAATAAACCTATGCAAAATAATGTTAAAAACAGAATCAGAAACAATGTAATCTTAAATAATTACTCTTAAAATATTATAAACTTAGTCTTAAAACTTCTGCCTGCTGCTCCCCCAGCTTGTGTGTGCTCTCTCCTCTTTGATAAATAAATAAACAAAATCTTAAAAAAAAAAAAGAAACTTGGAATCAAAAAGCAGAAGATGAGAATCCAATTTCTTACTTAGTTGTTCTACTATAATAAAACAACAATAATAACAATAGGGACATAATTATAAATACTTTCCAATTAATATCATAATTAAAGTAAAAGATTTCCTAGGTATCCCTAACTCAAATGTCCATTACTTATACAATGTAGAAGATCTATGACATACACAGAGGGCTTAACGAAGGATTTTTAGAGGTTATAATAGAGAAATCTTAGATATAAATGAGAAGTTGGCACTGGCTATACTATGCTTGGGGAAGAACATTACCTGGCTCTTCTCAAAACAGAGACATATAGACACAAGTGTTAGTATCCTCTAGTGTGGCTATTTTTATGCTATTTATTTTTACCGCAGTGGCTATCAAGTGATCAAAACATTTTTCATTTTGATATAACAGTGGGCAGGTTGACATTTAATAACACATGGAATTGAATAGTCTCAGTGTATATTAAAATAACCAATTTATTTCTTAAAATCCATTAGTTTTTTACTATCTAAGTCAAATTATTAAAATTATATTCATGTTTTGGTGTTATTACATGAGATACAGCTAAAGGAATGTACAGATGATTTATTTAAATTCAGAAGAAAACTTGGTCAAATTAAAATTTTTTGTGCTTCAAATGACATCATTAAGAAAGTAAAAACCAGGGCACCTCGGTGGCTCAGTCAGTTAAGCATCTGCCTTTGACTCAGGTCATGATCTCAGGGTCCTGGGAATGAGTCTCACATTGGGCTCCCTGCTCGGTGGGGAGGCTGCTTCTCCCTCTCCCTCTACCCCCCCCCACCATATGCACGCTCTCTCGCTCTCTCTCAAATAAATCTTTAAAAAAAAAAAGAAAGTAAAAACCAACCCACAGACTGAGAGAATGTATTTATAAATCATATATCTGATAAGGAGTTTGTATCCACTTTATAAAAAACACAAGTCTATAATAAGGACAAACAACCTAACTTAAAAATGAGCAAAGAATTTGAATAGACATTTCTCTAAAGAAGATACACAAATGCTCAAGCATATGAAAAGATGGAAAATATCATTAGTCATTAAAGAAATGCAAATAAAAACCACAAGGATATACCACTCCACACCCACTAGAATGGTTAGAGTAAAAAAGACAGAAAATAACAATTGTTGAGGAGGATGTGAGAGAATCTGGCAAGGATGTGGAAGAAACTGGAAGTTTCAAATATTGCTGGTGGAAACATAAAACGGTAGAATCACTTGGGAAAACATTTTGGCAGTTTATCCAAATGTTTGAGAGTTATCATTTTACTCAGCAATTCCTAGGTAGATACCAAGAAAAATGAAAACATATGTCAACTTGTTCTCAAATGTTCATGGCTCCCTGATTCATGTTAGCCACAACTGGAAACAACTGAAGAGTGCATCAGCTGATGAGAAAACAGAGGATGTGATATGTCTGTATATCACATATACAGATAGAATGCTATCCAGGAATAAAAAAGAACAAAGTACTGATAGATATTATAATATGGTTGAACCTCAAAAACATTAAATTGAGTGAAAGAAGCCAGACAAAAGATGACAAATTGCATGACTGCATTCATAGCAAAGGAATAGGCAAATCTATGACAGAAAGTAGATTAGTGGGTGCAAAGGACTAAAGCAGGAGGAATGGAGGAAGCACACTGCTAATGAACGCAGGGTTAAATCTTCAGATGACGAAATGTCCTAAAATCCGATTCTGATGATGATTGCACAATTCTGCAAACAGACCAAAAACAGAGCTGTACATTCTAACTCTGATATGTTAATTATATCTCAATAAAGCTATTAAAAAATAAGAAGATGAAATATACCATGGTTCTATTGCAATTGATCTATTTTTATTCTACTCTTTTATTCTATGGAATATTTTTCTTTTTTGCCCTTGATTACACCTTGATTTTAAATGGTGAGGGTTTCCATTACTATTTGTTTGTGGATTCAGTTTTTCCTTCTTTGGTTTGTTTTCTTAGAGGAATAAAAGAAACTGCCTTTGAAAACTTACCGTCCACGTGACTTGAACAGTGGTGGGGGTCAACACAACTGGAGTATGAAGACGGACAATGACATCTCCTAGTTCTTTCTGTACTTGTCTATGGTCCACTCCTTGTGCTGGTGGGCTGATATCTACAGAGATAACCATTCCCAATATTTAAAAATTCCTAGTAAAATTTCAATGTATATTATACAAGCCATTATTATCAGGTGATTAGAAATAATCGCAGGGCAAAAAACTAAAACCCTTTGTGACAAAAAACATTAAGGCATATTTATATACATACCATCCCTGCTAGGACATAATTTGAGAGATGATATTTATTTTTACTAAAATAATATTAATAAAAGTGTTTGTAATCTCTCACTCCCTTCAAATACATTGTTGTGGAAGATCTATTATTTGCTTATTAAAGAATAAAGTATGTGCCACAAGACCTCTCTAGAATCATCAGTTTTCTATAGCTGTTGGCATATGGAAGGACTTTCCTGAGTAGTTAATGGAGCTATATCTGAAAACTGCCGTTTAAGAATTCGTTTAATCCCTTGTCCCAATTGGTAGTTTGTATGTTCTTACTCCTTGACCTATTCTAGACTGGAAGCATGGGAAGGAAAGTAATCAGGGAGACTTGGGAAGTGAATTATATCACTAAAGGTTAACAAAGTGAGGGAAGGAAGGGGAAAAAGCCCCCCAAATTCACAAAAATACTTTTGACTGAAGAATTTAGGATATTGAAAAAATGTTGTAAGGTAAACAATTTTGAGAACTTCAGTATCTGACAAAAAAAAAAAAGAATTCGGCTTTTTGTTTTTTTTTTTGGAAGTGATTCGGGGAAGGGAGAGGGAGAAAGAATTGCAATACTTAGAATGATATACTCTCAGCCATACATTGTTCAGCCGGCCCAGTATTCACCATCCACATAATACTAGTCTATTATTCCATATAATGGTTCATATTCTGTGTGCCCGTTAAGAAAAAAAAAAGAAATTATAGACTTCTGAGTTCATCAAATTGATATCAAATATTGAATTTCACACAAACTCAAATCAACTACTTTAACTGGTGCACTGCAATATTAAGTTGATTTTTTTCCCTCCAACTATGTTTTAAGGAAGGAAGTCTAATTTAAAATAATTGATTTTCTTAATCCTGTTTTCTCCTATTTTCTCGGGCCACAGTGCAACACTCTGGCAAAAATATTTGTGAGTGCATATCTCAGCCATAATTTAAACTGACTGCACTAACAAACTGGGACATAAATTGGGGAGGGGGGAAAGGGTGGGGAAAATGGGTGAAGGGGGACGAGAGCTATAGGCTCCAGTTATGGAATGCATAAGTCATGGAACAGAAGCCACAGCACAAGGTAGAGAACAAGCTGGTGGTTGCCAGAGGGGAGAGGGATATGGATGAAATAGATGAAGAAGACCGAGTACATATACTGTGATGAGCAAAGGGGAATGTATAGAATTACTGAGTCATTATATGGTATACCTAAAATGAATACAACACTGAATGTTAATTATACTTGAGTTGAAAAATAAATAAATATTTTTTTAAAGCCACAGCACAGGGAACATAGTCAATGATATTGTAATAGCACTGTACGGTAACAGATGGTAGCTACACTTGTGGTGAGCATTGCATAATGTACAGGTAAGTTGAATCACTGTGTTGTACGCCTGAAGCCAATGTAATATTGTATATCAACTATACTTAAAAAATTTTTTGAAAAAAGAAAATAAATTTCTCAAGGACCTTAGTGTGATGTGGAAGAAGGCATAGAATACAAACTTGGCATTACCTATAGTATATAATGAAGGTTTTTGTTTTTATTTAGTATTTGGAATTTATATCAATAATTTACAAATTTGATTTTAATTAAAATAGCATTATTAAAATACCTTAAATCTCTTCCATTGTTTTCCAACCTTCTGTATCGATTTGAGTAAAGCACAAACATATCCCATGACTCAGGATATATATTTGCTGTTGTTATTTGGAAAATGTATAATGTAAGCAATAAAAAAAAATGAGTGAAAAAATTGGGACATAAATAATTGGGAACTATGCTTTGGTGCCTTTTTTCCCCCCAGTTCCACTGTTTTTCATCCTTAACTTAAATAGCAGAGCTATTTTACTTGATCTAGAAAAAATATATTATTAATATTATGTGAATAATATTAACCTTTGCTGACACATCTATGGTCTACTGTGATGTTTATGCTACAAGTATTTGCTGCCTTCCTAAAATAAAAGATTTCTAAATTCTATGGTACTGAATATCTTTCAAAATAAGACCTCACATGGCAAAGTGTTCTTTGAAAAGAAGTGCTTTGCAGAATGCAAAGCTGCCGAAAGTGTGGTGTCAAAAAATGATCCTGACGTTCAGACACAAAACATGAGTTTTCCTATTAAATATCTGTTAAGAGAACATAAGTCTTTTGCTCTATATAGTCTCTCAGCTGGAACAAGCCAGATCACAAACAACTTTTCATTAATCTTTTTTGACCTTTTCACCGAGAAGTTATTTTATGAGTCAAGATTTAGTGACTGGCAGAGTTACTGAATGATCAAGAAGGTCTGCTGGATATAATCACACCCAAATTCTTCCCCACTCTGTTATCTCCTGCCTTCCATTACAACTACACCACAAAAACTGTTTCTGTCTACACTGGTAAAAATGTTCTTGGTACTCTGATTTCTTGAGTTAAAGCCACATAGATCTTCAAGTTCTAGAATTTAATTTACTCATTAAATTTAGACACACTAAAAGCAACTGGATCCAAGCAAGGTAAAATATAACCAGTTTCAGATCTTCAAATTCCTTGTTGTACTTTTTCTTTCTCTGGAGACAGGTTCTTTGCCTACAGGCCCTTTATCATCATGGAAAATTAATCACATTACTGCTTAGAGAACAATAGCAAAGTGGCATTCCCTCCTCCCCCGACTGTCATCATGTCAGCAACGTTCCAAAATCACGTGGTGACTATTTCACTGGATTCCTTTAAGGTGCCCTTCTCTGTTACAATAGCATGCTAGTTACTATCACTGAACTACATTGTAATTATAATAATATTTTTATGGCTGTATGGTGCTTTTCATTGAATAAAAATACTACTTTGAATTATATTTTGTTCAAAGTCTTTTACAAATAAGAAATAATTAACCCTTTCTCAAGAACCCTGTGGCAAGTCGGTTGTAACAAATAATAAAGCCACAATGTCTATTTTATTAATTCCCTCCATCTACTAGTAGGAAGGGAAATTATAATGCAGCATCCTATATTAACCCCTTGACTCCAGTGACTTCTTAATTTAAAGATGCAAGCTACCAAAGATGGGAAGGAAAATCTTCAATTTTGAAATTATAATATTCTGGGTGTTTAAGTTTTTATTTAAATCCCTGTTAGTTACATACAGTGTAATGTTGGTTTCAAGTGCACAATATAGTGAGTCAACAGTTCCATATACCACCTAGTGCTTATCACAGCAAGTGTGCTCCTTAATCCCCAACAGGGATTTCACCCATTCCCCCACCTCCTCCCCTCTGGTAACCATCAGTTTGTTCTCTCAGTTAAGAGTCTGTGTCTTGATCTCTCTCTTTTCCTTTTACTCGTTTGTTTTGTTTCTTAATTTTTTTAAATTAGTCAAAAGAATTGTATACCTCAGGAAGAAAACTTGATTTGCTCCTTTCTGAAACAAATTGCTCCTTTAAACATCTGGTTTGATAAAATGACAACAACAAAACAACAACAACAAAACACACATTGTAGGTATGCTTGTCAAACTTGAGCAGAAGCACCTCCTGGGGAGCATCTTAACACAGACTGCTGGGCTGCACCCCCAGAGCTTCTGAGCTGGGGCCTGAGAGTCTGAATTTCTAACGTGGTCCTAGGTGAATGCAGATGATGCTCCTGGGGGAGCTCCACCTGGAGACCCACTGCCCTATAAAAACAGAATCCTTGAACAATAGGGGTAATTTTGATATCCCTGTCTGGGCATTGTATCCATTAGAGATCACTTTTTGCTACTATATAATTAATTTCGAAGAAGGAGACAAGTTTCCGCCTTTTGAAATATAGTAAAAGCCCTAACTTAGTTGATTGACTCTTACTGTGTGAATGCAACCAATTATTCTGTTTATTTATTATTATTTTTTTACTCAACAGACCCTGACAGCTCCAGGAAGAGGACACATTCACCAAGGTTAACAGCAAGTTCAGGATCGGGTCTAATGAATCATTGTAACAAGTGATGCAGACACGTTTATCCTTCCTCATGCAACCCCTTTGTTCTGTTTTTTTTTTTTTTTTTCTTTCCAGTAGTTTCTTTTTTTTCTTTTCTTTTCTTTCTTTTTTTTTTTTTTTTCTGTTCCTGCTGAATGCCTCCTTCTAGAACCGGTCATGTCTACAGCTACTGAAATTACCTTGTGTGCGCACAGGATCTGACATGGGGCTTGGGTCACTGAGACCTTGCGGGTTGATGGCTCTGACCATGAATAAGTAGATCGTATTGGGCCTCAGTCCTCTCACTGTGTAGACTGTGGTCTTTACGTGGTTTGCCACCGTCTGCCAGCTATTACTCACTGATTGGCTGAAACAGGAACAGAACTTCCACTTAAAGAGCAGCCATGAAGGCATCGGCAATGGAGCTGGGTATCAATGACAAAAGTTAATGGCTGAAAATTAAACACATACACGCACAACACTTGAAGTGTTAAGCCCAATAAATGAAACATTTGGATGATTTCGGTTTATTCAACAACAAAGCCGAGCCCACCTAACGGAAGTGCCATGCACAACAAAATTAAACTCAGCCCCGGAGATGTGACAGCCCGTTGCTAATGCACAGCAGCCCACTAAATGAATACCTGTAGAAGGAATAGAGGCCAAGATCACAACATCAAGTTTATACAATAAATATGGTCCTCGTAAATGTATATATATATACCTTGAAAAGAATTAACCTGTAGAAAGAATAAATGGACTACAGAGTAAATTATGCCAATACATTTTCCTGTTACAAGGTGTGTTTTCTTTTGCATCAATTCCACATGCAATATTATAATAGAGCCTTCTAAAACTACATATCTGTAAAAGAAGAAAGGAAGCATGTAAGGAATATTTTCCTTTGGTCACATTTTTAATAAAATCGTACATTACATAGTATGTGATTTCTCATCTTCAACGGGTGAAATACCTCTGAATCTAGATGTGGAGACCCCTTAACAGCCCGCTAGAGATGGGATACCCATTTAGAAAACTTTGTCTACGGTCAAATGCTGCTTTAGTTCATAATGAGGAGAAAAATGTGATTTTTCAGGGCTGCCTGTTCACTTTTCAAAAGTTCTTACACATCAAAGCATGAAAATTACAGAAAAATTGTTTTGAAAGTTGGGAATGATGTATTTGTTGACCATTACTTAAACAGATTAGGGAAGCTTAAAATGAAAGTAATGTCTTGTCCTAATCCTTAAAAATGACACTGGCTATCACTATCCTTATAATGGCAAATAAAAGCACATTGAAACAATACAAACTTCATTTTCCCATTTGTGTAAGGATCTTATCAAATTCTCATGATGACTTTATCATGACATTTACTAATTTATATTCTATATCTTTATATTGATGACAATTTTTTCAAATCACAATTGGACATATTTTTTACCTTTCAGCAGCCAGAAGTGCACGGAATCAATTCCTTAATTGTAGTTTTGAATTTTGTTCTTAGGCGTACCCATAGCTGTATTAAAATATACAGCACAAAAACAGTGGACTTATTTTAAGGTCTGCTCTAATAATGAGGAAGCAAAGTTCCAGGGTTCCATGCCTCGGTAAACAATGCAGAACTTAAAAAGTGTCCTGCTTAATTAAATTATTTTCTGCCTAGTTCTAATGACAAAATTCTCATCTTAAATCTTTACGATGGTCAGGGTAAAGAAAGGAGCTAAGTGATTAGGTCATGAGCTAGATCCCCATAGACTTAGTCATAGATAATGCATATTTAATCTATAATCAAGTTATAAGTGAAAAAAAAACCCTAGAGTCTATTCTTGAATAAAATCAGATAAATACTTAAAATTCACTGTTCAACATGTTCTTAAGATAAAACAGCAGGATAGCTCACGCGAGATTTTAGGATATAAGAGCAAAAGCAACAACCCAATGGAGAAAAAAAAAAGGAACTGTCCCATACCTGAAAGCCTCAATGATATATGCACTTGCTGGAAGGGCTCCAGGGGTACCTGGTTGCCAGGACAAGGTGACACTGTTCTTAGTAACATCAGTGACCTGTGGTTTGGATGGTGGGCCTGGCAGGTCACTTAAGTCATAGTTTTTACTGATTGTTGCTCCAGATTCTATAGAGGACAAACAGAAAATGCTTCATTCCTGATTGCATAAGATGCCATAACATTTAAAAGAAGGAAAATAGTCTATTGAAGATGTTGACCTAGACAATGAGGAATTCATCTTCTTGAGTCAAAAGAATGTAAACGAATATTTGCTTTACCTACATGTCACTAAATGTTCACTTTCATGCAAGATCACTAAAATTGCTTGCTCTTCAGGTAGAGGAAATTTATCAAGGACAAATGTATCAAATTGCAAAAATGCAATATTATGTGGAGAAATTAAAACGTGGCATATGACTTAGTTTTTGCATTCAATGAATTTAAAATCTTGATTTTTCAATTGTTATTTGATGATGAGCTAACCAATGAAATGGGCTCAAGATTTCTTCTGTTGAGATAATTCCCAGGACTCACCTGTCACATCCAGCACAGCACTCCACGAAGTCTCTCCACTTGAACTTGTAGCCACACAAGTATAAGTACCAGTATCAGAAATCTAGTGTGCAAGGAAGGGAGAGAATTCAATTATTTTAATTAATTTATAGAGTAATTACTCAGTCTCAAGGAGGTAATATTTAATTTCTTAAAATACGATGTATCATTTGGCTCTCCAAATTGTTCATTAGAGTCAATCATATGTACACACAAAATATTAAAATCAACTCATATAATATTATTTTATTCATGACAGGAATTCAATGATTTTTTATTATATTTCTACAACTAAAAGCTATGTGTCTGGTAAACTCTTATTTGTCTGGTCCTCTTGCCTCCATGGTAATACCTTTATCTTCATATAACTCCAATTTATGATGGGGCTTCGCTGTTTCGGAGTTACATATGGACAACTCAGGACAGAATTTTTCAGAATCCTATAAATATTCAGAGATCAGTAAAGCAAAACTGTCCTTTCCATCTTTATATATTTCCATGGATAAAATGTACTCAGGAGTAAATAAGCACTGAGGTAACAGGGGGCTGCCTTTTTTTTTTTAAAGATATGGAGAAAAGTGAAGGAAAAAAATCCCTAAATCTCTCCCTTTAAACAGATTAGTATTCATTTATATTTAAATTTTAGTAGTGTGATAGAGAATGAAATAAAATTATATTATAAACACACAAACCATGTCTATGGAATCACTGCAGTTTAGAGCTGAAAGGACCATGCAAATAATCTCATCCATCACTCTTTAAAGCATACTTAAAAACTGTCATTTCATTGATCACTTAAAATGTTTTTGTTATTCACTGAAGTGTCATTTCATTGATCACTTAAAATGTTTTTGTTATTCACTTATTCACACTGAGTGGGAAAGGATTTTTTAAAGTAGTTGATAATATAATCAAGAGTTCTCTTTTACAAATGTAAAAGGTATACATTTCTGTGATTATACTTTGGCGAAAGGCACAAATCAATAAAAATTTTATGTCAAAAATCTTCTTTGTAGTTGAGTCCTATGGGCCTAGAATATAAACATATTTATTTACACTGGTTTAGAGATGAGACTGGGAAGAGAAATCGATGACCAAACTGAATAAGGCAAGTGACATGATGCGAAATTAAAATTCTGTGATGAACATGAGTCTAATTGTTGATGAAATATGAGGGTTCATGGAATATAATATCTGTTGGGTCCAAAGTCTAAGGGTACGGATGACTCAACCTTCCACAACTGATTATCAGGTAAATCATTAGTGCATGGATGTTCCTGCTGTGCCACCATTTTAATTGATTTTAAATGTCATTATGTATTTTAACTTGAGTTTCAAACTGCTCTGGCACATCGTTCTCTGCCATATTATCTTCATACAATTGTCTTTTATTATACACGGGATGATAGGGGATAGCCATTGTAAAAAGAGCCATTCTTTGAAACGTGGCTGTGCATGCATTATAGTCATTAGAAATCTCTCCATTTAGGAAGCATCACTCACAAACTAAATATAATGAGCCAAGGTTGGATTTTAATGTGACGTTCATTTGAATATGGTCTGTGAAAGAGTAAAGAATTTGCATTTTATTATAGCTGTTGAACTAAAATGTAGCACTTGTTATCATGTGCAAATGCTGAAAGAAGGGTATGTAGGTAATGCTTCTTAACTGCATCTCCTTGTCATTGTGTAGAGACACAGTCTGACATTAGCGGTGGTAGGTAGGTTTTAATGAGTATTGGAATATTCTACTTCTCAAAAGATACAGATTCAGTTACCAATTAGCTGGACTATGAGAACAGAGTGTTCATCCCATTATCCCCCCCCATTGCACTAAGTACCAAAAAAGAAAAAAGAAGAAGGAAAGTAATAGTGAGACACAAAGGAATATGACTTACAGAAACCCTCTCTTGACTATATGAGTGAAGTAGTGTAAAAATACATTTTTATATCCCTTTAAAGACAGTCACCTTACAGAAAAAGAACAACATTTTCATACTGGAGTTTATCAAAAGCCACATCAAAAGCTGAAATATCATTGCTAAAACTCACTCTTCAATCACCATCATCATGACTACATTCATTCTTATTCCTTTAACTTTAAATAATTTCTTTTCGGGTCATGAGTGCTTCATCTCCCTTCGTTCCTTCTCCTTTTATCCTTAACCAAGTGCTTTAAAAAGAGATTAATGTGCTGGCACACTCCATCACCTGTTTTTCTCCTTGTGTGGTTGGCTGCAGACAAGCCCCCAGGAGCTTGCATCTCAGAGAGATGACTCAGAAGCCTGACACAGGGGTCGAAGTTTGTTTGACATCATCAAGCACCCACCTTTAATTGTTTCTTTCAAACACTACTGGGGATCTTTACTATTCAAGCACACCCTTTAATTCAGTGGTACAGTGAAAATGCATTAACTTTCATGGCCCAAGTCTGCCTTTAGCCCAAAGACAGAGCTGAAAGTGTTTACTCAAGGAGAGTTGGCATTAATTTTTTAATAACTCTCATTTGTTCAAAGAAAGTTAACAATTAATTTAGAATCAATAAAGAGACAGGCTAAAATCTGTATTAATTTATTTGTCTTTTAACTGAATTTGACAGCATTTTTTTCTACTTAAAGCAATAATTAATGCCTATGTCTCAAAATTAAAATGAAAACATTATATATTAATTTTATTAACAAATATACAAATTAACGAAGGTTTGTGTGCTTTGAGTGTGCATGTACATATTACAAAAAGTCCTTCCTTTTTTGTAAATGTCTGGGTGACACGCTGGTAAATACTAAATATATGTCATTGTAAATATATTTGTATTTTAAGAGAAGAAATAATCCATGTTGTAATCAGTTGAATATACATGTAATGAAAAATATTTTAGCTTCTTCCCTAGCTTCCAGATAGGAAAATTCAACATTGTTTTTCTGTTTTTTTGTTTGTTTGTTTTTTATCTTGGCTCCCTATTTCTACCTAGATACCAGATTCTACTAATTGTTCTTCCACCAAATCATTTTTGATTAATTTTTCTTCATGTACTATATCAGTCATCTTAATTCTGGCTCTCATTCCCAATCTTTTGACTATTCTAGCAAACTCTTCAGTTTTACCATAGTGATTGCCACAGGGAGGGGAGGCTCTGTACGTTTTGTTGAATGAAGTGAATATACTCATAGAGGGCAGGCAGTCCTTATCTGGTATTCATACCTTGTGTAATCAAGCCCTCACCTTGAATGTGTGTGGGATCTGTTGACTTGCTTCTGGTCAACAGAATAAGGCAAGGGTGACAGGATGCCCCATTTGTGATTCTGTTACATAAGATTGTAATCCTTGTTTTGCCAGGAGACTCCCTTCCTCATTGACTTTGAGGAAGCAAGTAGTCATAATGGGAATATCAATATGGCAAGTAACTAAAGGCAACCTTCAGCCACAGCAAACAAGATGCTGAGGTAATCAGTATGACAGCCATAAGGAACTGATTGCTGCCAGCAATCATGTTGCTTAGAAGCAAATCTAACCCCAGTCAATCTTCAGATGAGACCACAAACCTGATATGTGATTGTCCCCTTGTGAGACCCAGAAGTGGAAGACCCAACTAAGTCACACCCAGGCTCCTAACCCCACAGAAACTATGAGATAATAAATGTATGTTGTTTTAAGTCTCTAAGTGTTTGTTAATATTGTTAAATCGCAATAGATAGCTAATACAATATTCAGAAATGGCATTTGAGTTGCTTCTGAAGTAAGTTTAATTTGTTAAATTGGTAGGAATGGTTGCCATCTTCTATTAAAAGAACAGCGATGACTTGTCCTTGCCCACAGGTTTAAATCTAAACTCCACAGCAACTTAACCTAAAATGTAAGATTTTCGACCAACTAGCCAAACCTACCTTCTATGCAATCTTATGTCTTTGGTTTTTTTCATATAATAAATTGGCCAAGCTAACTTATACACATTTCTTACAAACATCCTTTGTTCATGACAGTAAATCAGAAGCATTTGACACTTTCAAATGACTTTAAATATCCCATTACTATCATTAACTTCATGTGTTTAAGATTTTTAGCTTTATCAATTGAATACATATGAGTTGGAATGAAAGAACAAAAGGTTTCTAAGTCTGTTATGATCTTATATTAACATAAGGACTTTCTAATATCAATTCATCAAATGATGAATTTGAAATAAGAAATAAAATAAGAAATAACATGGCCTATAATAAAAGGTATAGCAACTGTGCTAGTATGGAAGATTTTAAGTTCACAAAGCAATTTTTCCCGAGGGCAATACTTAAGTTGAAATGAAGATCCAAATACAAGTCAAGCGTTACTTACCCGTAAATTCTTAATCTGCAATGTTCCTTGTTCTTGTATAGTTGCTCTTGGATCTCTACCCAGGAAAGTGAATCCCTCCTTTAACCAGCTAATTACAGGAAGAGGATCACCAGTAGCTTTACATTTCAGTAATGCTGTACCATCTACTGCTAGTGTTTGGTTGGCTGGGCCTTGTAGAATTATGGGTGGAGGTCTATCTGTCAAAACTAAAGGATAAGGATATTTTCAGTATATTTTAACTTCTCAGAAGTTACATCATACTATTAGGTGTATATCCCATACATATTACTTATAATTTATTCTGCATATTCTATGTCCATTATGTATCTATCATTTATACATACTATATATATAGCATATTTACTGAGGACATATTGTTGTTTATAACTTACTCTGAATTACCTACAGTAGATGGCAATAATAAATTCTGACATTATAGTATTGTTGAAAGTCTTCATCATATTAAAATAAAAATAAAAATATGGAAAGTTCATGGCAGTTATTCACAAAATGTACACTTATCTCTTATATGCATATTTAAGAAAACTTGTAGAGTGTCATATGGGTGGAAACAATTTTCATTTTTGCTTTTATTATAAATATATGTATAATATATAATTTCACCCTTCAAAGCACCTTGCTATATATAGAGACTATGAAATATTGGTTGATGTTAAATTATTAGATATAAACATTTTACTTCCAAGATTATGACACTGGGCCTTACATTACAGTATTATAATCTGGATGATAGGATTTAACCAGTCCTTAGAATTAAGCAGTAATCTAGTTAAACTCTATTTATGGTATGACAAATAACTGTTTTCATGTAAAATCACTGTTTATATATATATCAACTCCTGTGTTCATCTGGGTAAAATTTCCATAATTTCATAAACTTCTAGTTCAGTGTTTTTTTTAATCAAATATTGTTTCATGGCAGTATCTTCAGTGCCTTTGGAAGTATTTCATAATGATTTAGGAAATATACCAGAATTTTAGTATTACTTAAATGGGTGATGGAAATATGGAGCCATTTGGGTGCAAAGTTTCATCCAGAATTCATTAGAAGAACACTTCGTAACAAAACTGACAAGTTCAGGTCCAAGGAAGGCTTTGTTAAGAGACAGTTCCATAAACGTCAGCATGGATTTTGGTTAATTACCGAAAATATTTATGCTTATTTATATTTATATTATGTTTATTATATAATTACAAAAAATATGTATATCATATATAAATATAAAACTTTCACAGAAAGGAAAAACAACTGTGGATTTTAATGATTGTTAAGCAACTGTGAGGAGAAAGTGTCTATAAAGAACGTCATGTTGTGTTACAATGTACATTATCAAAATGTCATTTTGCTCATTAACACTCTAATCTTCTTTGTCCACCAGGTTATCTGTTTCCCAATCTATATGCATCATCTTTATTATTAGAATTTGTGGTTTTGAGGGAAAAACATTCAGCTGAGCAGCCCCTTTACAGCCTACCATGAGAAAGCCAACCAATTTTAATTTAAAATAGAAGTTATGAAATAGAGCCATTGCATGTGCATGTTAAGACACAGTGGACTTCCAATCAACCTAAACCTACTACATCAAAATATGTATTAAAATGTGTGTATGTATGTGTGTCTATATACATATGTAAAACCTTATAAAAAACTAAAAAAATAAAATTTTGTTTGTGTATTATTTATAAACAAAAATTAGAACTACTTCTTTCATGATTTTCTTGATCAAATTCTTCATTTTAGAAGTAAGTGAAATAAACTTCAGAAAATGTGAAAATACAATGTTATATTAATTCTGACACATACTGCGCAAATAGATATCCAAACTAAATGAAGGGCCAATTCACAAAACATGAATAATTCTAAATTCAATGAGAAAAATGGGTCTGCATTACTAGAGTAGAATCTATTTATTCAATTTTAAATATTCTTACTGCTTTGTTTCAAATTAAATATCTCTACAGAATTTAGGTAACTTCTTATAACTTGTTTTTATTTTTATATCCCTGAAATCATTAGATATAGCCAAGGACATCTGATTAGTCTCTTTCCTTTTTATTGCTCAAATGAGTAGCTCAATGTCTTTTTAATGAATTTAATCAATAAAGTAATTGAAAATCTCCTGGCCGGAAGGAATTTTCAGTTTCAAACATGTTATGGGTGAAAGATGACCACAGGTTTCCATGACACTGAGGTCAAAGGTTAAATGAACATTTAGGGTTTCCAGTGATCTGTGACCAATTCCATGGTTTTCTTTAACTATGCATTATAAATCCTCAATAAACCATTCATATGAGATCATGGTGTGACATTTACTGTTAACATAATACATAAATACATTTCTTCTCTCTAGTACTTTTGGATGTTATTGGCTGTACTCAGAATTCTCATTACAATTTTCTAATTTTCTGAGAGAAAAAGAGCAGAAGAAAGGAAGAAATGAACAGTGCCAATGAATTAATGAGAAAGTCTTCTAAAAGGATATTTTGAAATTCAAGTATATTGAAGCATCTTCATTCAATCTATAATCAGTAAAATTATCACTCAACAGAACATTTCATCACCATTAGCAATCTCATCTTATATGAACACTTGAGTTAAAAATACCTCCAAGAAAGGAGTCTAAGTGTAAAAATGTAGCAACAGAAACACTATTATAGATGTTTTGCTTATTTCTCTGAATATGACATACGTTTTTTATTCTACATTGGAATTTCAATTGGCTCTAATTTGCCCTGGGTCACACCCTCCAAAAAATGTTCCAAATGAAAATGATAGCTCACGTACCATTAAATTGTTAACCAATCTGAAAAATTCAAAACTATGAATAGATGCTCAAGGCATCAGCCAATGTAGCAAGTTAGTATTTAGAAAGAGTTATTTGTAATAATAATGTGTGTCTGTGTGTGTGTGGTTAGGTCTTGAAGTTACAGTTCTTTATTGTCAAAATCAATAACTCTATAACCTTCGTTCAATGTTTTTGTAAAAGGATCTTGACTTTGTGATTGCTTACTTAAGTAAAAATCAATGTAGGAATTAATATTCAAGCTAGTTGTAGCAAACTGTTCACAGTCATCTCACTCATCAGGTTTAAATTTGTATTCACTTTTTTAGTTTTGACTAGAATAACTACTATTCTAGTAGTTATTCTAGTCTAGAACTACTATTCTAAGCTAGAATAACTACTGTTTTGTTTTGTGAGATTATGTCATCAACCAACACAAGTTCTAAAAAACAAAAGTTCCTTTTCATTTCATCAGAAATGACTCTGAGTATCTGTGATATCATCTGGCTTTTCTAATTCATAAATTTTGTTTTCTACAAATATGGTTTGCCTTTTCCCATGAACAATTTCTTTATTTAGAAACATTTTAGAGTCTGACCTTTGTAAAATAATATAAGTAACTAGATTATAGTAGAGGTCTTCATCATTATACTTAGAATGTTTTATTCTTGTATATAGAAAACAACTTAGGCTATGGCCAGAATATCTTCTTTTCCCAGTGTATGTACCTGGACATTTTTGCTAATGGTGTAAATTTTGCATAAGGACGTAAGAAAGATGAATAATTATCTACTATTTCTTTTAAAAGATACATAGGTATGAAGGAACAAAGATCTTGCCCATCTAAAGAATTTCTTAGCACTGTTGCCCTTGAACCTGACTTGTTTCAGTTCCATGGCAGTAAATTTCTGCAACATCAGCAGGTGTGGCCATTAACAACTGAATGTTCCTGCAACCAATGTTTGTCTGTTCCATTTATTTCTATTCTTGACATGGTGCTGAATCAGGCAATGCCATAGACAGACATTAAAAAATATTTCATTTCTATTAATTTTAAATTACCATTTAATCTACATGTAAATTTGAATTGTATAAAAGTGAATCAAATTTCATGAGCAGAGAAGGAAGAGAATCAGAGAGGTGACAAAACAAAGTTCTTATATCTCAGAAACCAGCAACGGGGAAAGTAAAAGCCCCACAAACCTCACAAATATAGGAGAACAAGAGAGAATTTTTAGTTTAAGACATCAAAGAACAGGGCTTAAATTCATACTCAGAAGCTCACAAAATATCTAAAGTTCCCTACCTATCAAATGTGACAAATAAGCTCTTGGGGGAAATAAAAACAGATTATGAATTTCCTCACATCCTTTTCAACAATCACTATAAATGTAGGTGCCTCAGCTACGATTTATAGTACATAATGTGCAAATAAAAAAAAAACCAAAAAGTTTAGCATCCATCAGTAGTTTGGAAGGTATTTAATTAATTTAACTTAGTGAATGAATAATTAAAAAGTCATAGGATGTCATAATGTGATTAGCTAACCAAGAACTCATCTCTGTTTCCACTGATAATATTAAAGATGATATCTCTTCCTCCTCTAATGAGATAATATTATTAATATCCATTAGAAGCAATCATGTCAGCATAAGACTAAAAAATATACAGATGACACATCTATACACTGGGAGTGTGATGTCATTTATTTAAAATAAAGAATCAGGGCGCCTGGGTGGCTCAGTTGGTTAAGCGACTGCCTTCGGCTCAGGTCATGATCCTGGAGTCCTGGGTTCGAGTCCCACATCGGGCTCCCCGCTCAGCAGGGAGTCTGCTTCTCCCTCTGACCCTCTTCCCTCTTGTGCTCTCTATCTCTCATTCTCTCTCTCTCAAATAAATAAAGTCTTTAAGAAAAAAAAGTCTTAAAAAAAATAAAGAAAGAATCACCCTATTTTTAAAAATAAAATAGATAATCTTTGATATTCTTTTTTGGGACAGTACATGTAGAATTAGAGACTATTAAAAATGATATTTTACCTAGATTCAAACTTAGAAGATAAGCATTCATTTACATGTTTAGCAACTCAGAAAATTTCACTTGGTTAATATGGATCTTGAAATAAAAATTATTATTTTCCTAAAACAAATCTAATAATAATATCGCACCATCAGTAACTTCTAGTTGAGCTTTTGCTAAAATGCTTCCCGCCACAGTTAGAGCCTGGCAGATATAGTAACCCGCATCCGAGCGCTGAATGTTGGTAATCGTGAGGTCTCCGGTTGGCGAAACAGAACATCTACTGTTGGGTTGCTGGGGTTGATTTGGGAAAAGCAAGTTCTGTGGAAGAAACACAATCTCATCAATATCTTTTCCCACTCAGAAGGAAAAATATATTAACACTAGCTATTACAATTACTGGAATATGGTTGGAAAATACATTTATTCTAAAAATATGGTGTTGAAATGATTAAATGTCATATAGGGAGTCTCAGTGGGAAACCTTTTCCAAATCACGGAAAAATAATATGCTTTAAGAAGTCATCATGCTCTAGTCTGAAGGAATAATCATCAAAAAACCCTGAATCTTGGGGCACCTGGGTGGTTCATTGGGTTAAGCTTCTGCCTTCTACTCAGGTTATGATCTTGTGGTCCTTGGAGCAAGCCCCACGTGGGGCTCCCTGCTCGTCGGGGAGTCTGCTTCTCCCTCTCCCTCTGTCCCTCCGCACTTGTGAGCACATGCATACACTCTTTCTCTCAAATAAATAAATAAAATCTTTAAAAAATAATAAAAAAATAAAAACCATAGATCTTTATCTTAACCCTTTACTTTCTCCCTTACTTACTTCCAGTTACTTAGTATCTTTGAAACATGGCTTCCTCATCTGTAAAATGGGCATAACAATGCTCATGTGACTCATCACACATTGTGATAATGTGAATGTAACATTAACTATGCTTGTACTATATAAACTGCACATTACTAAGGAATGCAAAATAGAATTTCCACTAATCATTCTGAATACTTGATGTAATTACCCGAATTTCTTATGAAGATATTCAAAAGTGTGTGGCTGGGACTGACAGAGAGAGACAGCCAAATCTACTCCTGCTATACAATTTCTGCAGATTGTAATAGCTTTGAAAGGATCTAGATATATATACTACCATCTATGCAAGATGAAGCAAATCATTGAAAATAAAAAGGTGCAGAATGTTTCTGAAGCAGGCATGTGCCCTTAAAGAATTTCAAATATGACTTTTCTATGAAAAATTATTTTACTTTACTATACATCTCACATTAAACACGAGCAGCCTAAACATAAAATTTTAGAAGTTCCTATATGAGAGCAGTAATGTTAACTTGGATGACCTATGCCGCTTTATTGTTGTTCAATTAAGAAAAACATTTGGGTATAACAAATCATATTGAGGTATGTTTCCAAGTTGGATTATAAATAAGAACATATCAATTTTTATGTTGTATTTACTTACAAAAAAGAACATTATAACCCTCTGGGATCTGTTTCTCGACATAGTAATTAATTTTCCAGGTTTGTAATTAAACAGTTTCAATACGTTACAATCAGGAGGTAATAACATTCAATTAAAGGCATAAGACACATTTTCACCTTAAAATGTTTTTACCCTTGAAGTAATACCAATGGAAGAGGATAAAATAGGGTATTAACACTTTTCAATTACGCTAAATGACTTTAATCCTGCGAATGATGTCCTACTTTAATTAGAAGCTCTTCTCTTTATTGCAACATGATGGATGTCCACTTTATTAGATTTGAGTGTGACACTATAAGCCCACTTTACATAAACATTACCATGTTATTAAACCCTTTCTAAAAGAAGTGATGTTTGTGAGCATGTCAGGAATATAATTTCAAAATGCTATTGCCCTCCTATAAAACTTGTATTACTATATAAGGCTAGACATTTTCATGCACATGAAACAATTTGAGAACAAGCTAATTCTCTCATGGAATCCAAATATATTACTGAAATAAACCATCTAAAAGAGAAGGGTCTAAATTTTAAAGCCACTTGAAAATGATACAATAACTCAAAGTATGCACTTTCCTACAATTAGCCATTAGAATACTAATTTACATAGCACTAATACATCAGATGGGCTTAATTCTCTCTGGGATCTCTTCCTCTACAATGTAATATCAGTCCACCTTCTAAATGATTCGTTGACATGGAAAATGGCATATGATTGAGGTTAACCCATCATCTTTATTCCCTGCTTGTGTGATATAGGCACAAGAAAATGGATTACAAGCAAAACCCAGGAATTCTACAAAGCTCTTCTTGCCTTGAAGTGCCTAGGTATCCTATTAGTGCTAATTGGCATTATCAGCACATATTGAGGAATATGGACCATTAAGTCCAGGCTCTTAACTCTCTACTGATGGAGAGTCATAGATCACTGTAAAAACTGGATACTGGAGACAGTAAGACCAATTTATTTTTCCTAATATTCCAATTCATAATTTGAAACTTTACAATTTGCTCAGGCAATTCTCTTTTGTTCTCATTCACAGTCTCTCTCTCTCTCTCTCTCTCCGTCTTTTGCTCTGATGCAAGAGAGATAGATGAAGGAAAGAAAATCAGACCTAAGATTATAATCAAATCAAGTTACCTAACTGGAATTTTTTTCAGAGATTAATATCTCTGGAATTACCTGCCACTTTGTTAAAAAAAAAAAAAGAAAAAATATTTTAAGCTATTTGATTATCTTTAAAAGCCATTAAAGCAGAATGTAGCATATTTAAATACCATGTTTATTGGGCCACAGGACCAATACACATGTTATGCACTATCTTATGTCAACCTAGAGCTATTTGAGGGCATGTGATTTACACATGATACAGCAGTATTTATATAACAATGAGATATGGGATGATGGAATTTGACTCAATACATGGATTTAAAGTATAAATTTGCAACAAACTGCTTTATATCATTATATTTATAAAATTGATAAATAAGTAATATATTCATAACATTACATTTACTATCAGTGGCTTGAGGGAGTAACTTTGATGGATCCCAAAGCCACCAGGGTGGGTGGAGGGAAAGAGCTACAGGCAAGAGAAAAAATCTTGTCGAGCTACCAGGGCTCTCCAGCGTTCACCCATCCCAGCTTTCTCAGGCACTGTGTGGGTCTTGGGCAGGGGTGACCAGAATGGTGTTGAGCATTTCCTTGGTGCTGGGCATTACATCAGTGTCTGGGTAGTGGGAGACCTCAGGTCCTGGCAGCCCTGGCCTGAGCAGAATTATGAAGATGAGGACTAAGGGGAACTTCTTGATGCCTCTCTACCCAGATAATCATACATAAATTCTCATCAACAGATTCTTTTAATATAGTCTAAAAAATTTCCCATCTCTGGTAAAGTTTCTAGATTTCCTGGGACTCTTAATCATGAAATTCTTCCAGAATTTGGACTAACAACAGAGGGTGCTGAGGTCTTTTCCTGAGAACTGTATGCCTCCTTAAAGATGGTTCTGGGAAGTCTACAACAAAAATATCTCTAGGTCCTTCAGGAATGCACTGATAAGTTCTTAGGCAAAGAACAGTTTTTGGTTTAAGCTGGAAATTCCATTCATTGCCTGAGAACCTAGAGGCTAAGTGCTTGTTCAAGTTTTGACACTAAGTGGAAAAAAAAAATAGCATATCCAATTGACTTTGAACAGAGTCTGAAAGGCCATGCTACCCAGAGAGGGCCATGAGTGGACAGATAAGGGCACAGCAAAGACCAGGCAAGTGCTAATTCTTTCTGGTATATAATGTGTTATTTCCTTCTGATATATAATGTGTGATAATGTGCTATCTAACCCCACTATGAACGAATCCAGAAGGGATGATGGAAGTAAATACTTCTCCCACTCTTAAATGGAAGTATCCTTAAGTTAATGATAAAGAAAAGGCATTTATAATATCTCTCTATGTACAGGGATTGCAATTGGTTTCTAGGTAGATTGATAATGGAGATATTGTTTGACTTGTTTACATATGCCTAAGATATTCTAAACACTTTATCTGTACAAATTCATTTGATAATCCCAATGTAGCTTGCTGCAAGGAAGTAAAATTATTTTTCTGTTCAGAGATTTTAAATAGCTACAGAGGTTTTGATTATGCTCTTTAAGATAATTTAGTTACACTGAGTTGTATCTATTCTATGTAAAATACAGAATTTTGGACATTAATACTGGAAAATAACATTATATAGAACATCCAACTCTCACTTATTTTAGAATTAATTGTTCTTTTTTTTAGAAATAAAATAAATTCAACACCGATAACAGGAAAGGCGAGACAAACTTTGAGGAGCACCAGAGACAGAGTTCAGAGATTTCAGAAAAGCAGTCAAAGTTCACACTCACCTGGCTGCCTTCTTTTTGCCAAAAAACAGCTGGCTGTGGGTTTCCTTTAGTTTCACAGGGAAATGTCACTGTTCGACCTTGAGCAACAATCTGATCTCTTGGCCTAACCACAAACTGTGGAGGAGCTATAATTTAAAAGGAAAGAAAGTGTATAAATATCAACCATTGACAAAGAAAAAGATATCAAAGGGAAAATCTGGTGGATTGCTCAGAGCCAGACAGAAGCTACAGTTTTTAATTTTTTTCTATTTTTAAAGCATTTTTCAACACACAATGGGGGAAGAAGAAAAGCACTCTATCAAATGTAAGGAAAAGAAAATTTATTAGTAGACACTTCCTAAATGTTGTACATAATAATCATATAGCCCATATATTTGCATAGGAAAATAGATTTTTCATGATATTTTAATGTTTTTTTAAAGAAAAATATGGTTTCCCAATTTGGTTTTGCTATTTGAATAAAGATAAAAAAGAATCACTTCATTACACAAGTATCTCCTTCTTCTGAAATTAGTCTATTCACAGATATTGACCATTCCTGTAATATTTATAAGATATTGTTCTACACGCAGGGATACCAGAAGCCTTAGAATATGATCCTTATCCTCAAAGTGCTTATATTCTAGAATTGACGAGTTAAAGTGTTGAAGACATCAAAGAATTAAAGAACTGGGAATTACATACAAAGATAACTAATGATATAATGACATGTTTGAAAATGGTTGATTCTACTTAATTCATTTCATTTAGATAAATAAGCATTAGTCAGACAATTGCTATGTTCCCCTACTGGACACAAGGATACAGAGATAAAAAAATATATCTATCCTTCAGGCTTCAAGGAACTCACAACCTAATGGGAAACACAAAACATGATGATGACAACAGCAAAAGCAAGGTAAAACAATTATCTAAGACTATGCTAAGTTCAATGATAGACATGCTTTCAGAGCACAGCATAGGGGCATTTAAATCCTAGTACATATAAGAAATGTGACAGGACTTGAAGAGAAAAGGATCCCTTTGTGTTATGGCAGCTGTGAAAGGCTTTATGCAGAAAATACACATTATGGGGACTTTGAGGAAAGGGCAGCATTTAGATAAGTGGAGAAATGAACACATTCCAAGCAAGGAGCTTACTGAGCAAAGTGCAGGAAGCAAGAACACATCCAGCGTACAGTGTGTATTCTGGCAGAAATGAAGGGTCTCAGTTGTGTAAACATCATTGGCTGAATTTGGATTTAGATTTGGATGTAGCTTAAGAAAGTCCTGAGAAGCCAAAGTGGGGATTTTGTTCAGGGTCTTTTTAATCTAAGAAGTGACAGATGCAAAGCAAAATCGTTAGATGCCTTAACCCTTTAATGAATATAGTATGGACTGTGAGGGAGGCAGATCAGTGAATAAAGTAGGAACTCTGGTTGGAAGATGAGGGGAATGATGTAGGCAAAAATAATGAGATCTAGGCATGGGTAACGCCAATAGAAAAGAAACTGAAGGGATGGGGGGGGTAAAAATCCTAAGAAAGTTCAAGTTTAAATTGGGAGCCAAGTGAAAGACAGTAGACAGTATAACTGGAAGTTTTCACAAGGACATCTTCTTCATACCAAAACCCACTTCCGCTGACAAGAAAACAGCATGTTTATTCCATGACTTTTCTCATCATCTGTTTACACTTTAAATCGTTGCTTATGCTAGAAAATGGAGGATGAAAAAATTTTTTAAATCAACTCTAATTTTTAAAACCTGCTGTCCATGGCAACCATCCCAAAATTTGAACTCTAAAGGATTAGAACAATAAATGACATTCAGTTGAAGTCTTTACCCAGAATTCTTTCAGCCCTTCAGGAATACAAAAGAGCAGGTCCAAGAACAAAGTAAATGTAGGGTAGCCTCAAACATACAACCAAGGACTCATTCTTACAAGAATGCTAGTGTAGAAAGAGCAGCAGATTTTTTTTTTAATTCACTGAGATTTGTAGTGACTTAGTTTTTGGGTTCTATTATACTGCCTCCTAACTCAACCCATTCAACACATACCCCAGGGACAGTGGGGATAAATCTACTAAGTGAAATTTTCTTCTATAACTATAGATAACAGTAGACCCAGTCTAACAGTATGGAGAACCCAGATTTATGGATCTATTTGAGCAGAATGTGGTTTATGTTGCCTTGCATTTTCAGGAGATTACTTGCTTCTTACAATCTTCTTGTTATTTCTACACAATTTCACTGAATCAGCAGATACACTGATTTTTGTTCCATGTTTTCTAATAGGAATGATAGATTAAATCAATGTTACAAAATTACTTCAGGGACGACTCTTAAAACACTGCAATGTCCATTTTTCAGGGAAGATATGAAACCATTGGATTATTTATACCAAAAAAGACTTAAGATTGGTCTCTATTATCTCCAATATCCAAGAAAAATAATATGTATTAAGCAAAATTTAAAGATCAAATATAGTTCCCATTTTTTAGTAATCCTATGAAAGACAAGTTTAGTGCCAATATGGATACTAAGTCAGAGTAACTTAGCTTATACCTCATTATCAAAAATTAAAAAAAAATCACTTAACAGTCTGATAAAAGTCACACATTCAGCTTATCTGTTCATTTGTACTGCTTTGGACTAGAAAGAATTTAAATTGGCTCATATAACTGGTTAGTAAAATCTTAGAGCCCAATTTGTGCTATGAAGTCCTTCTTTATATAATTCATTTTTAAAATGTAATAGTTGAGAATACACATGATTGAAGTCACCAAATAAAACATCAAGTGAAAAGAATGAAAATATATTTTATAGTCTTAAGTATATTATGCTCACCCTGTATCTGTCTACCCATCTACTTCAGTAAAATTAACATCTATACTTTAATTACAATCACATATCTCCTTGTATTTAATATTTTAAGCTTTTAAGAACTTTGTAGTAGATAAGTGATTTTGCAAAATGCTTTTGGAATCTAGATCCTACAATTTTAACCAGCTGCAGAAACATAGCCGCCCCCCGCCCCCCAAAAAGGGCTGGCAAATGACCACAACTATCTCTCCACTTTTCTGAAAAGATATGATTCATTCATTTATTCATTCAAAATGCACTGATTGACTACAAATTATGAGACATTCTGTTGGGTACAGGGGATGGAAAGCCAAATAAAAAATTGGCAGATACTTCCAAGTAAATAAGTAAATAAACACAAATGGAGCATAGTTTGATTTGTATAATAATACAAGAAGCAGAGGGCACTGGGTGAGAAAGTTTGGAAGAGCAGCAAATAGACTGGGTGATGAAGAAAAAAGAGGCCAGATGCCAGACAGGGCCATGGTTGAGTTGTGTTTTAAAGCACAAGTAAGAGTTCACTGGATGAAGAGGAGTAAGGTCACTTGGAAAGAGAGAAGCAGACATAAGGCAGAGACTTGAGGAGCTGGATGTGTTAGGGGAGTGTAAATGGTCTTAAGAATAAAATCAGAGATGCAGAAGTGATATAAATAGGGCCATATAATTTATGCTAAAAGAACTTAAACTTTGCCCTGAAAGCTACGGCGATCTGTGCGAAGACGTTTATGCAAGAAATATGTAGTAAGATTTATGTTTTAGAAAGAATGCTTTTTCTAAAGAAAGGACAGATGTGAGGTGGGAAAATCTTAGCAAGTTAGGGCAGAAAATCCAGTTGAGAATTGTTAGTCATAGTAGCACCTTAAGAGAACATTTCATCAGAACTCTTAAAGGACAAAGAAATTCTGTAATATTATAATGTAACATTTACTAATACTGATATGATCTATGAAGACCAGGAAATCATAATTTTTGAGTTTTTAACCAATATTGAATTTCTTTAAAAACCCCTAACAAAATAACTACCAGCATTTGTGTTATTCATACTATGAAGAATTCTTTCATATGACTTTTACTTATATTCTATTTTTATTCCAAGTTATTATAAATACACCCTATTTCTAACATACCAAATAGTTTCTTGTCATCAGAACCTAAGCCACACTGCTCTCACTGGAATGGGATTCCCCTTATTATTTTTAAAATTAAACAAACAAAATACAGATATTAAAGCTAAGCAAAAAAATTTAAGAGTATTTAAGTGTCTCAAAATGTACATCCTTTCCTATTGTCACTTAACGTTGGACCACCGAAACAAATTGCATCAATCTCTTTTACTTCTGTAGACTCTCTCTGCTCAAGATCTATATTGCAATCTCCTGTGAAGGCCTATCAGCTGAAGGAATTTATTTTTGAGGTTTTAAAATGAAAAACTGCATCAATAATTCTTTTGCTAACATTTCACATTTTCAGTATTTCTGCCAGGTGGCAGTGAAAATGGTTTGAAAAGACAGTATTTGGCTGATGGCACCGATGGGAGGGAGTAGGCAGAGAGGTGGCATTTTATCAATACAGCAAGGTAGCACAAATTGTGCTCTATATAAAATGGATTTTCTATGATGGCTCTCATTAAACATAAAGAAAAACCATGATTGGGTCCTCAAGATGACAATTCCAAACACATGTTTAAACCCAATGTGCATTAAAAAGGTTGAGTTATGAGCTCCAGAAGAATATGCTAGTGATAGAAATGGCAATTCTCTTACATATTTTCTAAGAGAGAAGACTATAAAATACATATTTATATCTTCTCTAAAATCCAAAAGCGGTAGACAAATCTTTTGTAGTTGTGACATAATAACATAGTTGCTTAATCTGTTAAGTGATTATACCTTATTGTTACAGCTATCACAGGAAATGAGATGAAGAAAACAGTGGTACCATTCAGTGTTCGATGGATACTTCCAACTGAAAAACAATAGCTTTATAAGAAGAGTGGGTTATGTGATTTCCAGAAAGTAGACCCAAATATAAAAAGGTCAGTGGAATTAGAGGTCTGGTATTGTTCACTTGAAACGGCATTTTTGAGAATTTAAATACAATGCACACTAAATTAGATTTGATTTCTGCTAAATTATGCTTTGATACTGCATTCAGCCCAAGCTGGCTTCCATCAAAGTCAGGCTACAGCTCTGTTATGCTAATGCCTGCTGGTGGAAGTGAGTGGGTGTTATGGAAATCAGATGGCTGAACATGAGTAGGAGGCACAGGCCATGCGTGAGGTGGG